ATCCACATTTCACTTACCGCAATGGGAGGATCTACACCATGTGCTGATGGAGGGATTTCCTTCATGTGCTGATGGCTTGCTGGGGATTAATGGGGATACGGTTATATACTGGTGCCTTCCTTTTGGAAAACAACTTGATGCTGTGTATTAAAAGTCTTCAAAAAGTTTGTACTCCTTGACCCAGTAATTCCATTTCTAAAAATCAATCCAAAGGAGATAATTAAAAGAGAGGCTCAAGATTTATGAACAATAGGCATTACAGCATTATCAGTAATAGTGAAAAAGCAAAAAAGGTGCATATATACACACAAATACATCTATTCAATAGAGTATCTGCAAATGTTACAAATAATGTTCATGAAAGATTTTAATAAGGAAAAATGATCATTATTAAAAGGGTTTAAGATGTCACATATGTTGTGATCTTACACAAATGTACACATACATGAAAAGAATTAGAAGCACATCAAAATATTGTTTTGTTTTCTGCAGGTAGGATGGTCATGTTTACTTTCCTTTTCATATCTTTATGTATTTTCCACACTGTGCTGAATGTATAAGGGGTTTTTGTTTGTTTGTTTTGTTTTTTTGATCAGTGAGTATTTGTAGTAACATATACACTGTCACATATGTGGAAGAAAACCTTGAATGGCTTATTTAAGATAATAGGCATTATATTAACACCAACACTGAGTGCTTTTAAAAAAAACAGTTCTGAAAAAATAAGATTACGTACCCCATTTGAATCAAATGTATGATATGTCAAGATCATTGTAATGTTTTGAGCAACTAATAAAAAAATAAAAAAAAGTTCTATTGACAGTATGATTTCAGTCAGACTTCTACTCTATCTAATATGATTTAAGTCATAATTGTGTCTTAAAATTTTCACATGAAAACATTTAAATGCCTGAATGCTAGGACAGAGGTCAAACAACTTTCAGTAGGTGTTGTAAAAGTGGAGTTGCCTGGTGGACTCTTCCCAGAGGCCTTTTCTCTACTGGTCACAATTTCTCTATCAGAAAAGAGAGTAAGAGAAGGTGGGATAGCAACTGGGCTAAGGAAAGGAGGGCTGATTTGTCCTCAAGGTCAATTTTTATGGTGAGAGAGATGATATATATATGTTAAGGCCACTGACCTGTATGTAAGATGGCAGGAGTTTTGTTTATTTGTGGTAGACTTTGTCAAAAATGTTCATTTGCCAGAGAGTTCAGGGAACATTATATGTATATGTATTTTTGGTTTTCTTAATAACTTACTAGTCACATAGCTCATTAAGCATTTCCTCCTTTGAAAAAGATAGTACTCTAGAAAATGAGATGGTATTGAGTGATTTTTCAATAATGCTAATGGATCTACTCTGTTTTGTACTTTTATCACCTGTGTAATTAGTGATGTTTATTGGTGGTGTATCTGAGATTCTGTTGGTAGCTATTAAATATAATTTCAAGCTACCTGACCTGTGTAACAACAGAATCCAACTTTTTGTTCTCTTGTTACAGTTCTAACAAACTGAGCAAGCTTGCTATGGATAAAGAAAGCCAAGTCAGCAAATATTTAATAAACATCTTTTGTTTTATTTCCAACTTCCCAAAGCAATTGAGAACATATTAAGAGTAACCCAGTAGAGAGAGAGACTTAATAAAGGAGATTCCTGTGTGATCATATTTAGGTAGCAGTAATGAACTGTGGAACTTCAAAGGACAGCTATGAAATAGGTCATGTGCCAGGATTAAGGTTGACTCTGAAATTTGTTTCACTGCCTTTTAGTAAATAAATAGTTGAAGAAAGATTTGGCAAAAGAAAGAATTAACCCTCCTGTCCACATTCTTCCAGGAGAGTGTCTCCTGTTAACAAGTTATTTGAATGTTTACTTTGCCTTGACTGCCTACCAGTGGCATGTCAGTTCTTCCCTTGAACCAAGTGAGAGTTCAAATAAACCAGAAAGTTTTCACACAGCTGGACCCTTCTGCCGATGAGTGGTGTTGATATGTCCTTTTCCACTTTTTAAAAGTGGTCAACATGAAAGCAATTGAAGGGCAGTCCATGACCTCCTATCAGTGGCCTAGATAAACTTGAGTTTGCAGCTTTTAGATTTTGAAATACCTGGCATAGAGAAGCTTAACAGATTCTGGGAGGTACTGTTTCAGTTACTAAAAGCCTGAGGTGCCTTGCTTTGCATTATTACTCAGAATTATCCATGGTTAAGATGAAAACCTTTGCATAAGTGAATATGCATGTAAAAATCTCATTTCTAAAATGTCATCAATGTGGCATAGCCATTGCATTTTGTTGTTTTCCATAGTCATAGGTTCTGTGTCCATCTCTGGCCAAGCAGTAGCATGGAATTGAATTTGCAGACACAATAATCTAGTCTAGCATAGTGCCTGGCATATACATAGTAGGTATTTAATGTACTTTTGCTGATTTGGTTCAAAATTTATATAGATAAATAAATGAATATAGAAATAAAAAATATAGCTAAGTATGCTAAATCCAGATGAGATGATAGTTTTCATTATATACTACTCTTTAAAGTTCATGTGGGAATTACATTATGTTAAGGTATTCCCTCCATTTTAAGAAACATTTTATTTATGGGGTGCTTACTTTATTCTAGGCATTAGAATTTTACATATTGAGTATGATGTCATTCTTGCCTTCAAAAAAGGAGAAAGAATTAGCCATATTTGGAGGATGCATGGACATTGTTAATTTAACTAATTTTATCTATTCTCTTCTTGTCCATTTTTTCCCACTAACACATAAGGTATAAATTTTGTTGGTATTAATTATTTTTATTTATGAGGTAAAAATGGTTCTATCTATCCTCAGCTCCTGAGATAGTGCGTGACATACAATAAATATTCTGTAAACATTTGTTGCATAGATAAATGATTTTGATAGACGTTGCCCAATTGCCTCCAGAAAGAACTTACAGATTTTATTGCCACAAACAGTATATGATAGCTATTTGTCCCCATATTCTAGCCAGTGTGGGGCTTATTGAAACTTTTTAAAGTTTTGCTAAATGTGCGATACTATTTCTGTATTCAAAAACCTTCCCCTGATTGCTTTCCATTGCTAGCCTTTCTCCCTGTTTTTCTGCCATCTGGCATACAAAGCCCTTGTAGAGCTGTCCCTGCCTGCTCTATACATTTCCTCTCTTCCCATTCTGTCCAGACCCCACCCTCAGACTTCGATCTGTGCAAAACTGCTCTTGATGATATCACCTGTGATGCTCATCATGCCTTTCCCCTGGAATCTCACCTTGTTTTGGTTCTCATATATGTTTGAGATAGATGACCACTCTCTTATAGAAATGTTGTAATTTTTCTCCCTGATCACAACATTCTCCTGGATTTCTTCCCATTTTATTGACAATATCTGTTCCGTCTCTATTACTTCTTCCTTCTCTATGCAGTCTCTAAAGGTTGGAGTATCCCGAGACTCTTACATGGTATCTCCTTTATCCTCTAATCATGTTTTCTTTAGAGCTCATCTTCCACAACTTCCGTACATCTAAAATCTGCATTTTCAGATCTGATTTTCCCCCACAACTCCGTGCTCATTGGTGTACCTGTTGATCTGACAGTGGTACTTTGACATCTAGTAGATATCTCAAACTTACCTTGGCCAAACAGGAATGCTGGCTCTCCTCCACTTCACTTTGTCTCCCACTCTCTAGTCTTCCCTAGTTCAGTAAACAGGGCTACTATTATTCTCTCACACCTAATCTGAGAGTTGTCCTTGACACATCTCTTTATCTCACACTTCATATCCTTGCCTCAGCAAGTATTGTTGGTTCTGCCCTTTGGAACAACATTCTGAATTCACTTGCTTTTCACCACTGGCATAGTTGATGACTCTGGTCTAACCCTCAGTGCCCTTATCTGTCTCCTGTGGAATTTCAGGGTCTCTTGATTGCTCTTTCTCTTCATGCCTGTATACATTTCCTTGTATTCTCCACCAGCTGGCGATCTTTTTTTTTTTTTTTTTTTTTTTTCTTTTGGTACTGGGGATTGAACTCAGGGGCACTTGACCACTGAGCTACATATCAGCCCTATTTTGTATTTAATATAATTTAGAGACAGGGTCTCACTGAGTTGCTTAGCATCTCACTTTTACTGAGGCTGGTTTTGAATTCATGATCCTCCTGCCTCAGGTTCCTAAGTCTCTGGGATTACAGGCACACACCACTGTGCCAGGTTCCAACCAGCTGGTGATCTTTTTAAAACATAAATGAGATCATATCCCTTTGCTTCTTTCAGTTCTCTAAGGGCTTGCTAATACATTTACAATAAGTCCTCAAATCTTTATCAAGATCTTCAAGATTGGGTAGGATCTTGCCTGGCCCTCCTCTCTGCTTTCATCTCTTACTTCTTTCTTCCTGGCTCATTCTACTCTCAACACAGAGTGCCAAGTTAAGTCCCAACACAGGTCTGTACTTGGTATTCCCTCTGAAGAGTCCATGAGCCTGAGTCTCCATCTGAAAAAGGGAAGAAAACCAGTAGGAACTATGTCATAGAGTTCTTGTGAAGATTAAATTAGTGTATTAGAAGCACTGAAATGGGATTGGCGTATGGTAACTCAGTGTAAGTGTTAGCTATGGCTTTGTTATTTCTGTCACTATTTGGGGGAATGTAAAGGAGGAATACATGTTGTTTGTGTTGAGTTTAGATGCTTGTGAGATGTAAAAATGAAAAGCATGTGTAAAAATAGAAAATCTTATTCAGAATGACTAGTTCTCTGTAATAAAAGGTGTTCTAGTACCTTGGAAGAATGAGCAAAACTTAACTAATTTAGTATCTAGGGATATGTTTGTGAACTGGGAAGGCGTGGGTCATTAAGTGCCTGGGATTTGACATACTCACTACAGAACTTTTCAAGTAGAAGGCAGTCATCATGCTCACAACTCTGGTTGTTCAGATGAAAGATTTCATTGATTTTTGTGGCTTAGATTTTTTTTTTTTTCCTTTTTGAATGCTTTCTAGTGAGCCAAGGCCTGGGTGTTCTCCACAGTCTTCCTGCCTACTTCTGGAATCAGACGCCATGCATCCAGATCTTGGACCCTTATGGACACTGCTGTATGTTATTCTTTTGATTCTGTGTTCTTCTGTGAGTTCAGGTAAGACAAGAATGGTGGGGTTTGAGCTGAAGTCTTTCCTCATTTTAATCCTATTAAAAAAATTTCAGCTTAAGTATTTTGCCAATAATAGCAGTTTCTAAAGGTGTTCCTAAGATTTGTTTGACCAGCTATCTGACTTAAAAACTTGATTAATGAAGCAATTTGAGGATCTCCTAGTAGTGCTTTGGGCATTAGCAGGCCTTCCCATTTTTGTCCTTGCATTTGTTCCTTTTATTGTTTTAAATATATTTTCTAGCCCAGTGTGGTGGCACACATCTGTAATTCCATTGGCTTTGGAGGCTGAGGAAGGAGGATCACAAGTTTGAGGACAGGTTCAGCAACTTAGTGAGGCCCCATGCAACTTAGTGAAACTCTGTCCAAAATAAAGAATAAAACGGGCTAGGGATAAGGTTCAGTGATTGAGCGACCCTGAGTTCAATCCCCAGTACCCACCCCTCAAATATTTTCTATTATGATTTTCTCAGTAAGGGGTTATGTTAAAAATTTCTGAATTTGGTAATGATGACAGGAATAAATACTGACTACCCACCACCAAAGAGAAGTTTTAGAATCAGTATGGTATAATGTTCAAATTGGAGTGAGAGAACCTGGTTCAAATCCCAGGTGTGCCACTCCCTCTAGGATCTCGCCTAGTTTATTGTTTACTTCTTTGAGTTACTGAAAAGCTTAAATGTGTTTATTGTTAAATGTATGCAAGCCCCAAGTCAGATACGTGGACTGTACTCCTTTCTCTATTTTGGACATATATAAAGGTGAATAGTAAAAATGTACAAATATAGTGATGTCTACTCACTGAGTAATATTTATTATTTATTAAAATATTTATTTATTAAAATTGCTGTGTAACTATATTGGATGTACAAGTGAAAATTGATTTAGTGATTTCATTTCTGTTTATGTTTTGCTAAACAGCCACCCCAGCTTTAGCCAAGAGAGGCACTTCATTTAATTTTCATTTCTGATTAAATATTCTATAAAAGAAGAGCCAGCAATTAGTTGATTTTTTTCCCTTTTAAGTATTTTATTCTATTAGATACAATATTCATGCATCTCTTCCTGTTTTGGGAGGGATGGAGGTAGGGAGGAGGATCTATATTGATATTTTAGTATAAAAACCACATCCCCACCCACGTTCCTTAAGGAATTAGTATGATAGATTAAGCTATTTCAAACACCAAGTAAAAATGTTAAGCCTTATATTCAAGAAAGAGTAAAATTTGTATTTCATTTGTGACTCCCCCAACTTTGTTTTCTTAAAAGTTAATACATAGGGGCTGGGGTGATGGCCCAGTAGTAGAGCACTTGCCTAGCACATGTAACGCGCTGGGTTCAAGCATCAGCAACACATAAAAATAAATTAATAAATAAAGGTATTGTGTTCAACTACAACTAAAAATTTTTTTTAAAAAAGTTAAACAATATTTTATATTAAAATAATAAAGAAGTTAAGAAGTGCCATGCCATTATTTGTGGAGTGACTTGCTCTGACAGGTCAAATGCTATTAGTAAAATTAGAGAGAACTCTATTAATTTTGAAAATCATCTTCACTTCTTCAGCTTTTTTACTTCCATTTCTTACAAGCCATTTTGTTAAGAGTGGTTTGCTATTTCTTATTAATGCAATTGGTGTTATATCTGATTTGTACCATAAGCATTCTTGTCTGTTCTACCTAAATTGTGAAGTCCTAGGCTAACATTGCTCACTCTTTTTTTCTTCCAAAAGAAAGTTGTATGAGAATTTTGCTAGAACTTTTTTGCAAGCATCAAGAACCGCCACATATATAGATTAGAGGTTGCCTTAGTTATAGATTCATATGACATGTGTTAATGTGCTCTTCTTTCTCTCTGCTCTTCCCTCTCCTTCTTCCCCTTCCTGTTTACCCCTTTCCTCATGGGGAATATTCCCTCATAGACTTGGCACCTTATTTTATTTCTGAGCCTCTCTCTGAGGTCCAGAAGTTTGGTAGACCTGTGGTACTACATTGTTCTGCTAAACCCGTGACTGCTCACATCTCATGGTTGCATAATGGAAAACATTTGGATAGAAACATGGAACAGATTAAGATTCACCAGGGGACATTGACAATCCTTTCTCTCAACCCCTCCCTTTCGGGTTACTACCAGTGCATTGCCAACAATAGCATCGGTGCAGTTCTAAGTGGCCCTGCAACAATATCCCCTGCAGGTGAGTTCAGTCTGGTTTATTATCTATGGGTTTTCTTGAAACTACTGTTAGTATTGGCATTTTTGAATAGCGGGAAGGACATGGGCTTTGGTGTGGGATATGTAGAAGTCTTATCCCAACTTTAACTTCACCACATGAATATCTTGGGGAAATGTACTTGGCCCTCTGTAGCCCAGCCTTGTATCTTCATCTGTAGCAATGGTATGGAAATGATTTTTTTTTTTTTAAGTTACAGAGTTAGGAGAGTTTTCTAATGTGAATTCTGAACAATTTCTTTGTGATTCCTTAAATAATATCAATAATAACAAAGCTGTTGTCTTTTTTGATGCTGATTTATTTCATGCAGTCCTTTATCTTTTTTTGAATCTAATTGTTTTATTTGCCTTGATTACTGGGTGATTTTAATTAATTTAATTGAAACCAGGCTAAAGAAGCAGGAAAAAATAACTGACTGTAAAGAAAGGAATGTGGAGTATTGAACTTATGGAAAATCTGGAATGCGTGGTTTTTCTTAGTAAGTTTGAGCCATCTGCCTTTTAAATGGTGATGGCTTCCAGTAATGGAAAACGTCTTTGTAAGGGCACCCCTATTTACAGAACAAATCTGGATTCCCCAGGAGTAGTGAGTTTGTCATAACTGAGAAGAGTAAATGTTTTTATAGAGCTGTGACCCATGGACAGCTCCAAGACACACACTGGAGGGTTGGGTTTTAGTGGCAGGCTGCTGACTTCCCTGTGCACTGAGATAATAAAGAACCTTTCCGGGCAGCCTCCGTCTGTAGAGAGCTTAAATTGAAAAGAATTGAGATCGAATTGGTATATTCAGATAACTGAGACAACATACTGCTTTGCTTTTTGATGTCCTATGGTCATCCCCAGAGGCCATTTTATTGCACTGTGAGCATTTACAAACCGGGAAAGTGAGCTTTGCTGAGGGCCTGCATTGAAAAGGATTTATCTTTATAGAATGGGGATAATTATGCTTTATAGTTCTCCCTGGTGTTTTAGGAGCAGTTTGTTTTTCTTATAGTCCCCTAAAAGCAGCAGCTTCTGCAAAAAGGGTGCCTTGAGTTAGCTGTCAGCCCTCAACCAGGCGCCTCTGCCCCAGCTGCTTTTTTAGATAAAAGCTCACACTAACCTCACGACTGGGATTAGCCACCACGAGACACCATGTGGCTGATGTTTCTAAATTTTAGACTTCCTTTGGGAAAGAGAACTCAAGTTTGCATTCATTCATTCTTTTATTTACTTATTTATTTCAGTTCTTGGTGACTTTGATTCTTCAACAAAGCATGTTATTACAGCAGAAGAAAAAAGCACTGGTTTCGTTGGCTGCAGAGTACCAGAGAGTAATCCTAAAGCTGAAGTGCGCTATAAAATCCGGGGGAAATGGCTGAAACATTCCACAGGTGAGTCCTTTTATAAAAAGCTAATAGCACACAGAAAACAAATATTCCTTACATAACTGCATTCTGTGTGCTAGGGACTGTGATTGGGAAAATAGGTAAGATACATTGTACTCTGAGAAGTCAAATAGAGGAAATGAAGACATTAGTTCATTCCAGTCTCTACTCCAATTTTACTTCCTAGGAGAAGACCAGTCAGATGGTCCTCTCTAAAATAATGTGCCTTTTTACCCTTTATTCAGCTCCAATTTTCTTTGTAGAATTATCACACCTGGTATGGGTTGTTTCGATATTTGTTTCCTTTTTATTTTGTACTCCTTTCTCTGCACCCATCACCCCCTACTGCAATGCTAGTTGCATGCAGGACCTTTGTGCTCTTTCTCTATTGCTGTGTCATGAGTGCCTTTGCTGAGTTTGGAAGAAAATAGTTAACTCAATATATATTTATTGAAAAAAGGGAAGGGCAGACAATGAATAAATACCATGTGGCCAGTACTTTTAAGGTAGAGGTTCATCAGGGCTGTGATCATGGTATCTTTGCCTAAATATGCTTCTTGTGCTTTCAGATTCACCATCTGTTAAAATGTTTCTGATGGATTAAATTTTGTTATGCCAGTACTGTCAACTCCTTATTTTTGGCCTTGACTTTCCTTTTCTTTCATTTAATGAATTTTCCTTGGTTGCTTATTTGCTGGTAGTCTTCTGTATAAATCTTAAACACAACTGCAAACCCTTGTTAGTTTTAGTTGCGCTGTGGTGGTCTTCGGAGAGTGAAGACTAACTGCATTCCTTTCCTTCTTCAGGGAATTACATAATTCTTCCATCAGGAAATCTTCAAATTTTGAATGTATCCTCAGAGGACAAGGGATCATACAAATGTGCAGTTTATAATCCTGTCACCCATGAATTAAAAGTTGAACCCATTGGCCAAAAGCTCCTTGTGAGTCGTAAGTATTTGGGAGAGCAGTGGCTACTAGCAAAGGAAGAGTCCTCAAAAGTATTGCTCAAAAAAAGTTGGGAAAGGAGAGCTCATTTTCAGGTCTCTCTCTCTCTCTCTCTCTCTCTTTTTTAATATTTATTTTTTAGTTGTAGTTGGACGCCTACCTTTATTTTATAAAATAAAGTGGTGCTGAGGATCGAACCCAGGGCCTCGCACATGGTAGGCGAATGCTCTACTGCTGAGCCACAACCCAAGCCCCAGGTCTCTTTCGTTTTATCATAAAAAGTCTTATCCCCCCCAAAAAAGTAAATGCAATAATGTGTAACAGAATCAAACCATACATATTTTAAAAAAATACAGCAACTTTTTAGAGGGGAGTTATGATCAGTGTGACAGAGTGAATTTGTGTGGAGAATTTTGCCCTTTGCTCAAACAAAAACAACTAAAAGCAGGAATATTACTTGATAGCAGTGGTCATCACATTGGTGGCTGAATGGGCGGCATGAGGAAAAGATCTTTCTACCCAATTTTTTAAAATTATGATTAAAATCATAGATTGTGGCTGTTGAGTTGAGGTATCATCAGTAGTCTGAGCATCATAAAAGAGTGGTTTCTGGACTTGTTGAGAATTCTACCTTTCCAGAGTTGTATAATTGAGAAGTAGCCCTCAAGGACCACAAAAATCTTTTCATTTTAATCCTCAGCTAAAAATGATTTCACTACTAATTAGAATGTTGTTGTATAAAGAAAACTAAGTAGCAGTGTGAGGATGCTCACAGCTTTCCTAGGGAAGAGATTGGAAGTGAATCCTTACTAATAATATTTTGTGTTCCCTTCCTTTTCTAGGCCCTGCCTTGGATGGGTTTCACATTCTTCACCCTACCCTTCCACAGGCATTGGCTGTCCTTTCTCATAGCTCTGTAACCCTGGAGTGTGTGGTGAGTGGGGTCCCAGCCTCACAAGTGTATTGGCTGAAGGATGGGCAGGATGCTGTGCCGGGAAGCAACTGGAGAAGGTTACATTCACATCTTGCCACTGCTAGCATTGATCCAGCAGACTCTGGAAACTATTCCTGTGTGGTGGGCAACAAATCTGGCGACGTAAAACATGTCACTTATGTGGTTAATGTACTCGGTAAGATGTCACTTACTCAATTTTTTCCCCCCAAATCAGGACATTATCCTTGTCTATCTGATGTTTGCAGGACATATGTGAGCTAAACTAAAACAGTGAATATCTAGAAATATTCACACCAGTAGCCAGAACAAGGCTTCATTTTTTTCCAAAAGGACTGCTAAATTAGGCTGTATTTCTGGGTGGCATAGAACATTTCACATGGATTGCTCTTGGGAACCTAACCCCCAGCCCAGAACATCCTTCTCTGTGACCTGGAGAAAAGAAAACTGGAATCTGATGGAATGGAAAATTCTTTTTTTTTTTTTTTTTTAATATATTTTTTTTATTGGTTGTTCAAAACATTACAAAGCTCTTGACATATCATATTTCATACATTAGATTCAAGTGGGTTATGAACTCCCATTTTTACCCCAAATACAGATTGCAGAATCATGTGTATCTCTGTGTGGCATCTTGTAGTAGCAACTAAGAGTACTGACTAGAAAATGGCATCTCAAAAAGAAATCAACCTATTTTATTATTATTTTTTTCCCTTTTGGCATGCTTTTACCTATGTCGAGCTCAAAAAATTTGCATTATTTCTACATATATGCTTTATGTCAAAGCTGTTTCTTTTCTACTAGCCACTTACCTTAGTGTCATGTGTAATAGTAGAATGTTTTCCTTTTTCAAAACAGATTTACATGAAAGCCAGAAATAAAATTAATTTCATAGTAAATATAGTTTTTGTAAATTTTTTCCAAGTGATTTACTTAGCACTCATGGCCTAATGTAGGTTCACAATACTGGGATTTAGGAAGTGTTTGGCAAGTGGCTGCATGATGCAGTGATTGGGCTGGGGTGTAGCTCAGTGGTAGAGCACTGGCTTACCATATGTGAGGCACTGGGTTTCATCTCCAGCACCTATCTGCACCCCCCACATGGGTGTGCACATGGACATGTGGTGATAATCGGGAGTAGGTTAATATGCATAATTACTTATTTAAGGCATATGCTGCAAATATTGATAAATCGTTTACTTTTCTAAATACAAAGTGACTTTATGGCTCTTAAAGGAAGTTTCTTTCTTATTTACTTATTTATTCTTCTCTGTTATACACCTAACCTCGAAATAGACTTGACCATAAAAAGAATTTAAAATGAATAATAGATTTTTCTTTTCTGGCTCTTGTTTAGTGTGAAATACAGGGAAACAATTACTTTCCTTTAACCTAGTCACCTGAAATAAATGCTAAAAGAAGCCTAGGATTAGAAACTATGTGTGTGTTGGAAAAGTTAAGTGGGTGAATCTATCTAAAAAAAGGAGACAATATCTTATTAGTAATATATGGTTTATTCTATTAGTGGAAAGTTAAAATATATTTCTAACTTTTTTATTGATGACCACAGCAGATGGAAGAATGTGAATAAAGAATACAACCTCAACTAGTTATTGGTAGAAGATTTTATTTGACCTGTGTGATAATTTAAAAAATACATCTTGAGGGGTAGAGTTTAATTTGCATGTTTTATTTTCAGAACATGCTTCAATTTCTAAGGGACTGGAAGATCAGAAAGTATCTCTGGGTGCCACAGTACTTTTCACTTGTGATGTTCGTGGGAACCCAGCACCTAACCGTACCTGGTTTCATAATGCACAGCCTATTCGTCCTTCCCCACGACATTTAACTGCAGGAAATGGACTGAAAATTACTGGGGTTACAATGGAAGACTCTGGACTGTATCAGTGTGTGGCAGATAATGGGATTGGATTTATGCAGTCCACTGGAAGACTTCAAGTTGAAAAAGGTAAACTTTTAGATCATGTGATTATATAAAACTTCCCAATAAGCTTTTGCAGCAATTAAAAACAAAGCCCTTTTTACTGAAAGAAATAATGCTACACTATATGAGAACTATGTTAATTTTCCATATTTATTTCTAGTGGAAGATAGACATGTTCGTGAAGAAACAACCTTATTTCATCATGCTCATTAGAAAATTGTTTTTATACTAGGATGTAGTTTGGTGGTAGAATGCCTAGCATGCATGAGGTCCTTGTCTTCATTCCCACTACCAGAGGGAAAAAAAAGAATTAGGAAAAAATTATTTTTAAAAAAATATGTTCTCAAGATACATAATTTAAAAAGATATAAAGTAAATTATGTCTCTCATTTCTATTCTGCAGCCTCTTTAGAACTAACTGATTTTATCAGTTTCTTGACTTTGTGCATATACAAACCGTTACACGCGCATACAAAAGTGTGTGTAACACTCTCTGTTTCCTACATAAGGGGCATTCTTTAAATTTTTTACTTAATATGTATTTTGGGTATTGTCTACATGGTACATAACAGAGTATTTTCATTCCTTTTAAAAACTATGGCTCTTTAGTATTCTATTATGTAGTTGTAACAATTTGACTAGTACCTTATGGATGTCTGCTTCTAATCTTTTATCATTATAGTTGTTATATAATGAAGGTCCTTCTGTAAAGATTATTTTCCACACATGTGAGTATCTATAAAAGAAATTCCCAGAAATGAACTTACTAATAGCTATTACTGAATTGCTTTCCATAATTGTTATGAAGTTATATACCTTATAGTCTATATTTCTTTTATTATGGATGAAAAGAGGTCTCTTTTTACATGTTTGTGAGACCTTTGGATTTATTTCTCTGTATATTGATTCTTCATTGTCTTCTGCCCATTTATAGAATTTAGGTTTTTAGTCTTACGTTTTTGATTTGTAAGAGTCCTTTGTATATTAGGAAAATTAACTATTCATGAGTTATAAGCATTTCAGATTTCAGAGAATGACTATGACACAGTGAATATTTTTACCTTATGTAATTAATTTAAAAGTTAATAATAGAAAGGTAAGTTTTTAAAAAACTTGCCGTGTATTTGGAAATTTAAAATTATACTTCCAATAGGTGGACCACAAAAGAAATTGTAGTGGAAATTTAAAATACTTCAGACTGAATGATAATAACAATGCCATAGATAAGTTTTGTGGGGGTACCCAAAATAAAATTTAGAGAGATATAGCCTTTATATACTTATAGAAGAAGACTAGTAAGGCTGAAAATTAGTAAGTGAAGTGAAAAAAGCAACAGAATAGATTCAAAGAAAGCAGAAGAAAGGAGATAATATAGATAAGGGCAGATCTGAATCAATTAAATAATAAAGATAAAGAAGATCAATAAACAATAAGTTAGTTCTTTCTAAAATCTAATAAAATAGACAAACCTTTGGCAAAATTGATTAAGAGTAAAGAAAGTAGGTAAAAATAAACAATGAGAATAAAAATGGAGCTCCAAGTACAAGGCTTATGGAGATCAAAAATAATAAGATGGCTAGGATAAACTTTATAACAGTAATTTGCAAATATAAACAGAAGTGGGCAGTGTTAGTTTTGTATCATGTGACAAAACACCTGAGACAATGAGTTTAAAAAGAGAAAAGCTTTAGTTTTGGCTCATGGTGTCAGAGGTATCTGTCCTTCATCCCTTGGCCCTGTTGCTTTGGTCCTGTGGTGCAGAGTACATCGTGGCAGGAGGTCATCGTGGAAGGGGCCTGTTTATCTCATGGAGACTGGGAACAGAAAGACAGGAGGGGACAGGGGTCTTAATATCCTCAAGGTAATGCCCTTAGTGACCTAAATTTCTTTAGGCGTTACCTCTTAAAGGTTCTGCTACTTCTTAGGATACCATAGGCTGGCAGCCAAGTCTTTAGTATGTGGGTGGGCTTTGGGGGAATTCAAAATCCAAACTATAGCATGAACAAATTCTGAGGAAAAAATATGACTTAGCAAGACTGACTTAAGTAAATAAAAAGCCTGACTAGTCCTACAGCTATGAAAGAAATTGAATTAGGAGTTGAAAATCTTCCCACAGAGAACATACCAGACCAGATGGTTTCATGGAGGTTCTACCAAGCTTGCAAGTTACAGATCATTCCAACTCTTACACAACTCTTCCAGAAAAGAGGAAGAGATGGAACTTTCCAATTAGTGTAATCCTGATTCCAGATTCACAAAAGGATGGTACAAAAAAGCAAAATCAAAGGCCGGTCTTTTTATGAACGTGCATATAAAAATACTAAGTGAAAAATGAGCAAACCAGCAATATGTAAGAAAGAAAATACCTCTTGATCAAGCAATTATCCCAGAAATCCATCAGAAAATTTAAAGTGTCTTTCACCCACTTATCTAATAAAGGAGATACAACATATGATTATCCACTAGAAGTACAAAAACACTGGACATAATTCAATATCCATGTTAGACATTCAGAAAAATAGAAATGGAAAGGAATTTTCTTAGTTTGCTAAGACTAACAAAAACTTACACAAAACATCATTTTTAATGGTGAAATATAAGAAACACTTTTTTTCTTCCTTTCTTTCTTCCCTTCCTTCCCTCCCTCCCTCCCTTTTTTCCTCCCTCCCTCTCCCCCTCCCTCCCCCCCAGGGCCTTGAGCATGCTAGGTGTCATGGTTTATATATGAGGTGTCCTCCCAAAAGCTCATGTGTGAGAAAATGCAAGAAGATTCAGACGTGAAATGACTAAATGATGAGCGTTATTGATAGTTGTAACCCCAGTGAATTAATCTACTTATAGAGATTAACAGGGCAGTAATTGAAGGCAGGTAGGGTATGGCTGGAGGAGGTAGGTCACTTGGCCTTGCCTTTGGGATTTCTGTTTTGTCCCTGGTGAGTGGAACTCTCTTTCTCTGCTTCCTGGTAGTCATGTCCTGAGCTGCTTTCATCTACCACACTCATCAGCTATGATGTTCTGCTTTACCTTGGATCCAGAACAATGGAGCCAGTTGTCTGTAGACTGAGACCTTTGAGTGCCAAATAAACTTTTCCTCCTCTAAAATTGTCCTTGTCAGGTGTTTTGGTTATAGCAGTGAAAAAGCTGACTAAAACACTAGGCAAGTGTTCTGCATGGAGCATAGCCCAAAGCACTCCCTTTAAAATCTCTTCTAGTCACCGTAGATTCTGTTCAGCACAAAAAGGCAGAAGAGAAATAAGAACCCAAATAGTTACTAATTTATAAGCTGACATGATTGCCATTATACAATATCCAAATAGTTTACTTGATATTATGATCATTACATATCTTATTAGAAATAATGGTATTTATCAAAGTGGTTGGATGAAGACCAATAAACAAGAATCAATTGCCTTTCTATATGCCAGCAACAAACAAAATCAGTTAAAAATTAAATATTTTAAGAAAATATTAGCTCCTTTAAAGCAGACAGTTATATAGGAAGATATACCAGTTAATAGATAGCAAAATTCAGTATTATAGGGTTGTCTTATCTTTCAAAAATTTTTTCTGAAGATAGTATTCCAATTAAAATTTAATCAAAGTATTTTGATGACCTTAGAAACTGATTCCAAAATGAGAGAATATGTATAATCAATATTGATTTTAATAATACATTTTAAAAGAATAATTTAAAATCATATGACTACATTGAAATGAAAATATACTCATTATTAAAAGATACTATTGAAAGTGAAAAGAAACAGTAAACTAAGGGAAGATACTAGTAACCTATATAACTAAACAAAAGAATAGTGTATATTATACACAAAGAACTCTGATCCATTTTCCAAAGATAAATGACACCATAGAAAAATTAACAAAGGCATTTCACAGAGAAGGAAAAATAGGAATTGTATGTAAACACATGAAAAGATGATGTTCACCTTTGTTAGCACTCAGGGATTTGCAGGTCATGACTGGTGAAATAGCATTTTACACTCCCTCACTTTGCAAAAATTTGGAAATTGGACAAGAGCAAAGATATCTTTTGTGTTGATCAATATTCCATGGTAGGCTACTTAAAAATACTGCCCAGAATACCAGTACTAAAAGGAGAGACTTGCCGCCACTTTAATTTAGAAGTATCAATGTTGTTCGTATGGATGATAAGAAATTGTGTATAAATTTTATTTAAAATAGGATTTTTCCCTCCCAGGATTTTTATAATCAGATTATCCCAGAATTGACCATTTTCTTGAAAAGATAGTTTTATATCCTTTACATCTCTTTTTCACATTAAAGTCTAAAGTTTTGGCTTCACCTCTTGTATTTACCGTGGTCAAATATGTATAGTATCCCTATTGGAAAGCTCTCAATAGATTCCTTATATACAATCCTTTTCTGAAAGGTTAAGAAATATATGTAGGAATGTCTAGAGGCCCACAGTTATGAAAATGTTACTTTTTATTGACAGTCGCACTTGGTAAAAATTGAGACAGGAACCAACCGGAAGGGAAATATCTTTGTTTTAATCATTACTATTATTACATTTCTGTAAAAGGATGAAATTATTTTGCAGCATAGAGACTATAATGTTTCTAATTTTGGTATGTGAATTATTTTTTTTACAGACAGTGGATTTAAGCCAGTTATAATTACTGCACCAGCAAGTGCCAGAGTGGTAGATGGAGACTTTGTGACTTTGTCCTGCAATGCCACTGGAGTGCCAGTTCCAGTCATTCGTTGGTATGGCTCCCACGGATTGATAACCAGCCATCCATCTCAAGTCCTTAGGTCCAAATCTCGAAAGTCACACTTATTAAGACCTGGAGCCCTTGACCCAGTGCCTGTCTACTTCATCATGTCCCGAGCTGGCTCAAGCTCGCTCTCTATTCAGGCTGTTACTCAGGAGCATGCTGGGAAATATATCTGCGAAGCTACAAATGATCATGGCACCACACAGTCAGAGGCATTTCTTACAGTTGGTGAGTTTCCATTAGTATTTTCCTCAGTTGCATAATCTCTTTTTATAGTAAGAGAAAAGGTGATTAGAAATATGTCATTTTAATAAATGCAGCCCCTGTAACAGTGAATGTAGAACTGTATTTTGGAGTATTTTTCCATCTGTGAATTAGATGAATGTCCTTCTCCATTTCTAGTGTTTTTGTTAAGTGCCTGCTTGTCAAATAGTATGGTTTTAGTTGGGAGCAAGCTCAAACTATAACTTGACTTTGGGATTAATGTTTTTAGTTTTCTGAGCTACTGATAATGTTATTGTTGACTTTTTTTAGACAAATCCTTGATAAGTGTAGTATTCAAAGTCTACAGGTTTGCCTTCATTGAGAATACAAACTTATGGTCCTATAAAATAATACCTGTATCTATGTATTTTCCCTATCTTACCCAAAATTACTTTTCTAATAGGATGAATCATAGTATTTATATGCTGCTGTTTTTTATGGTAATAACTTAATGTTACATGATTTTTGAAATATAGGCATGTAGAATGTCAATAGTAATGAAAATTAAGTCAAAGTTAATGAAATTCGAATTCAAACCTTATATCATTGGTTCTTTAACAACTGATTGATCAGTTTAAGAGATTGTTGCCATATTTATCTCTGAGAGTCAGAATATTCAGTTCTGCCTTTAGTGATGGTCAACTGAGGTCCCTGCCCTAGTCTTCTGCATTGAAGGGCTTCCTGTGTTACCTTTCTGTCTGGATCCTCAGAGCCCATGGAGTCAAAGTCAGTGCTTATCCTGATCCTAGAGTCCACATTCTTGTTTCTGGGTAACAGGTCTGGGGCTCCAGAATTTCTTACTTTAATAAATTCACAGTCTGGTTCCACACAGGTCTTTTTTGCCTGTCTTATCCTCCACAGTATAGACCACACCATCAGTGTATGGATGCCATTAAACCAGAGGTGGGGCCAGTGAGTGGTCTTTGGCAGAAGAGTGATGTTTGAAGTGTGCAGAGTTTGGATGTATGCACTCCAATTTATTTTCAGATGCAAATAAGGAGCTTCTAGCTCTGGATGAAATTGGAGATTGGGAGATAAGTGGGGAAGGCCAGTGACTTCTGTTTCTACCTTGGGCTACTCCAGAATGGTAGAGGTAGAAATGATGTGGAGTTGAGGCCTGTGGGCTGTTAGAGCCCTGGCTCTGACACACAGAGCTTTGTAATCCAGGGCCAGTTACTGAACTTTGTGCTTTTTGCCTCACCTGTGTAACAGGTGTTGTGAAGGTGTCCTGCTCACAGTAGGATTAGTGTGAGATTTCAAGTAGCTAATACATGTAAGCTTCTTAAAATTATGTCTGGTAACAGAAAGCTTTTCATGAACATCAGTTATTAGGTTATGATAACTATTAACTATTATTACAGGTTTCCATTGTGGTGGTATTTAACGAAAAGAAGAATTAGTTGTGATTTTAGTAACCTTAAGAACTCTCTCTCTCTCAAAAAAAAAAAAAGAACTCTTAGGAAGGTGCTTGGGTGTTGTATAAATTTATACATATATATGAATATGTATATGCATATATGTGTTCATGTTTATATATCTATTCCAGTTGGCAAAAGTAAAAGTGACCCTGCTTTTACTTTTAGCTTTGTGATAGGTATAATGCAGGAGCTGCTTGGGCAGAATTTAGCAAAACTGATTATTTTATGTAAATATATGAAATAAGGAGACATACATGTCATGGTTGATAGAACTAGATATTTTGTCCAACTTTCTCAAAAATCTGAAGCCCTTAGAAGTTATACAAATTGTTTAGATTAGAAGATCTTTAAGATTCTCCCCTGCTCCAGGATTTTGTGCTTTCCTAAACTATATATATATAGTTATAAAATGGATAACTATAATTTAATAATAACTAGATAGTAACAGTCTTAACCTAATACTTTGTATTTATGTAAAGCTTCTACTGCCAGACATGATTCTGAATAGTTAATGGCTACCACTTTTATGTATAATAATCCCATCAGTAGCATCCTACCTGTGTGTTCTTCTGTTATCTCTTTTACATGCTCTGTAATAATTATTGAGACCTAGCTGAGTTTATTGAACTTGAAGCAGTGAATTAGAACCCACTTTTTAAAAAATAGGAATCTGAGCCTTATTAAATCTAGTGTACTGAGTCATTTACTTTTATTGTGAAGGGAGAGTGAGATGGTCCAAGAAAAAGATGATGCTCTCCTTTCTCTCTCTTTTTTTTTTTATTTCCAGGGACCTTAGGTTTATGAGGTCTTCGATATATATCTTCAAAACTAAAATGGGAGTTGCCCTGGGCTTCCTAAAGTAGTGTGGGGTGGGGGTTGCTGGTATGCATAGTGACAGAGAGAATATCTTGGACAGATGTGGTTGTATTCCCTATTTAATTGGGAAATTCACTGACATTGCTATAGTTTTTATTCATCTTTTTTTCTAATTCAAAAACCAATCCATCTTAAAAATTATTAAGTGTCTATTCTACTCATTCGTGGAGTTGTTTGAAGATAAATTTAGATAATACATGTGAGAGCATGTATTGCCTGAACTCTGAAAGTACAGGCAATCTCCAATTTACAATGGTCTGAGGTTGCGCTAACATTGAGCTACACACCGCAGCCCTTTTAAAATTTTTTATATTTGAGACAAGGTCTTGCTAAGTTGTCTCAAACTTGAGATTCTCCTGCCTTAGCCTCCAAAGTCCCTGGTATTTCAGGGCATGTGCCACTGTGTCCAGCTGACTTACAGATTTTTTTTCATGATGTGAAAGTGATGTTCATTTAGTAAAAACTCATTTAGTAGAATTTTGCTCTTTTCCTGGGTTGTTAATCAGAAGTATGATAATGGTGGGCAGTGGCAGTGAGCTGCAGCTCACCATTAGCCATTCCATTACAAGGGTGAACAACTGACACTCTATAGAGTACTATGTTGCTTAGCCATTGTATTCAGTAAGTTAAGAGTAATAAATGCATTTCCAGTTTAACTGTATTTTCCATTTCCATGAGGTTTTTGGGTTATAACCTGACCATCAACCTAGGAGCATCTATACTGTTAAGACCTTTAAAATCATATCTAATAACTTGTGAGTGCCCAAGTTATATAATTGGGAACAGCAGAGGTTAATTGGATTCCCTTTTAAATAAGTGTTGTGGAAAAGTTGCATTACACCCTGAATAACAGAAAAGAAATTTTTATATTCTTGCAGTAGACGGGCAGCAGCATATTTTTTTTTTAATCCCTCTGTATAAATAAAGTGTCATGTAGTGTGGGAACTGTCCTGTGGCCAGATACCACTTCCCAGTGGTCAGCTGCCCAGAGGATCCATGAAACTACTAATGATACAAAGATCCTTCCACATCACCCCAAGCCACAGCAAATTACCTCCAATTGGAGAGTCCATTTCTCTACATTAACAGGCACCAGATCAACCCTGAATGTCCATTGCATGTCTGACTCACTAGGTAAACACAGCCATGCCAGGAGCAATATTTTCAAGTTGTCTTAGTGAATTTAAATAGTATTCTTCTACCTTATTTTCTCACTGACTTCTTGTTTTCTTGATGAAGGATGCTCTGGAATGTCATTTTTTCTCTTTAAACTAACAGAGAACTGACCTTAAAGTTAATCTGGTTTTCTTTGGTTCTCTTCTAAAATGCAGTAGTTCTCCTAAAAACAACCCACCTCTTCCCAGGAATCTGACTTCAAGTGTAGCTAAAACATGTGTTTTCCTCGGTTCCCTTCCTCCACACAGGAGTGAATAACAGGAGACCTTTTTGTTGCCAGTATTAATAGCACTTGAGAGAAAGTAAGCTGTCAATCCTTTGGATTTATTATACTGGCAGATATTTGTATTCATAAACTGCTCTCCTTTTTTTTCACGGCAGCACCACTAACATTCTTCTGACAGCTGTTGTCACTTAGTCTCTCAGAACCTTAATTTCTTCATCTGTAAAGTAGCAGCAAGTATTACTCTTTACCTAAGACTGTTGTAGAATTAAACATCTGGAACAGTGCTTGGCATATAACAGGTGCTCAGTAATTTTTTGAACGTATGAACCTATTTTTTCAGTACAAATAAATTATTTTTACTTTCCTCCGTATAATCTGTATGCTGTTAGTGTACATGGTGGGAGGGGACTATGAAAAAGTGGGAATTCTGGGATATATCTTTGGAGACGAGCTGCCCAGTAGGTAATGCTGTTTAGTACCAACTATTAAGGCTATCTGTTTGTTTTATCTATCTTCAGTTTGGTAGTTTCTTTCTTTTTTTTTTTTTTTTAGAGAGAATTTTTAAATATTTATTTTTTAGTTTTTGGTGGACACAACATCTTTATGTTTTATGTGGTACTGAGGATCTAACCCAGCGCCCCACACATGCCAGGTGAGCGCGCTACCGCTTGAGCCACATCCCCAGCCCCAAGTTTCTTTCTTTATTTTGGTGGGTGGGGTACTGGGTTTTGAACTCAGTGATGTTTCGCCACAGAGCTATATCCCCAGCCCTTTTCATTTTTAATTTTGAGACAAAAATCTAAATTCCTGAGGCTTTCCTTGAACTTGTGATCCTCCTGCCTCAGCCTCCCAGGTCAATGGGATTACAGGAATGTGCCACCATGTGCAACTAACAAGTCTGCATTTTCTCCAAATGTATGTTTTTGGTACTTTTGTCAAGGATCAGATGGCTGCATTTGTGTGGGTTGTCTGTATCTTCTATTCTTTTCCATTGGTCTATGTGTTTGTTTTTATGCCAGTACTATGTAATTTTTGTTACTATAGCTCTGTAGTATAATTTGATGTTATATATTGTGATAAATTTGTATATTGCTTTTGGTAATATGATTGTTTTAGCGATATTAATTTTGCCTATCCATGAACTTGGGAAGTTTTCCATTTTCTAGTGTCTTCTTCAATTTCTTTCTTCTGTGTTCTATGATTTTAGGTCTTTTAACTTCTCGGCTTTTTTTTTTTTTTTAATGCTAGTGTGAATAGGATTGTTTTCCTGATTTCTTTATCAGCTATTTCATTTTGGTTTATGGGAAAGTTATTGATTTTTGTATGTTGATTTTGCGTACTGCTACTTTGCTGAACATGTTTATTACCTCTAGCAGTCTTCTGATTGAGCTTTTCAGATCTTCCAAGTATAGGATCATATCATTTGCAAACAGTTGATAATTTGATTACTTTCTTTCTTATTTATATTTTTTACTTTCCTAATTGCTCTGGCAAGGCATTCAAGTACTATATTGAATAGGAGTGATTAGAGTAGACATCCTTGTCTTCTTCTATATTTTAGAAGAAATGTTTTCAGTTTTTTCTTGTTCAGTATGATGTTGGTTTTGGGTTTGTCACATTTAGGCTTTATGTTGAGATAAGTTCCTTCTATCTCTAGTTTCTTCACTGTTTTTTATCAGGAATGGGAACTGACTTGTTTCAAAAACTTTTTCTATGTTGGTCTTGTTAGTTCCATTTCTTCCCTCTTTCTTAAAGGTTGTTGTGTTGTGTAGGAGTCTATTGGATGGGGAATCTATTGCTCCATAACTGATACCCAAAGATTAGTGATTTAAAATCACAACCCCTTTGTTATTGCTTGTGATTGTTAATTAGGTGCAACTGGGCAGTTCTTCTGCTGGCCTTGCTGGGTTTATAATACGAGTTGTAATCAGAGGGCACCGGGGGCTGAAACAGCCAAAGTAGCTTTACTCACATGTAACACCTTTATGGAGGCACATCTCTGTCTCTGTCCATGTAGCATACACACGGCTAGCTCGGACATATAGCTAGATTCCCAAGAGCATAAATGAAAGTAGAAGTGTCAGACCTTCTTCAAAACTTGAACCTGGGTTCAGTGCGGGAGGGGACTGTGCATGAGGATGAATTCTGGAAAGTATCTTTGGAGACTTATTTAGCTACCTGGTAGGTAAAATCCTAAATCTTGATCCTTTCTTATTATCACTTTCACTTTTTTCCTGGTGGAATGTGTTGCCCATTGTGTTTCATTTACCAACTGGAGGTGAAACCTAATGTTCTTCAACTTAAAACTTTTGAGTTTAAACTAGCAAATTATTGTTGCAGAAGAGGGAATACTAGTACTGAGCAAAACAAAAATAACATCTTTAAGCCACTCAACTATTCCATCATGCAATTGTTTTTCCAAACAATTCATTTGCTCTCCCCTGAGCAAGTGATTTGCTACTAGAGATTAGATGTTGTCATGAGTGATACATTGACATGTTATCTATTTTAACTTCTAGGACTCTAATTGTGCTAATAATGTCAGTATCACTAACTGGATAGAAGATACTGACATAGTGACTTCATCAAGTTGTCTTGTCTCATTCTCTCTCTCTGTCCAGTTCCTTTTGAAACAAATACAAAAGCAGAAACAGTCACACCTTCTGATGCTACCCAGAATGATGAAAGAGACCAAAGAGATGGTTCAGACTCTGGCTTATTGAGCTCAATTCCAATGAAAATATATCCCAGTGGAGTGGAATCATTATCAGAGAAGAATGCCAGTGGCACCTCCGCCCCTGATGCCCCCATCATCCTGAGCCCCCCACAAACCCATACACCAGACACATACAACCTGGTTTGGAGGGCAGGAAAAGATGGCGGACTGCCCATCAATGCCTATTTTGTGAAATATCGAAAGGTAACACCTACTCAATTATCACTTTTATCTTCTCACAATATAACCTGTTTGTACACTGTGTTAGTATTATCTTTTACATTTGTGGAAGGGCAGGACACAGAACAACAGTGCTTCCAGAATGATGAATTTATCATAGATATCCCTCCAGTCATGCTGGATTAACCAGGTTTATGAAAGCAGTAAGAATGACATCTAAATAATTTCCCCCCTAATTGGGATTCTAAACACTCAATAACCACATAGCATTTTTTTTTATCTTGGGTGCCAGGCTCTATAAACCACTTTCAAAACCATAATTGCATTCCTTGCTAACAGTAGAATACAGTTTATTCAGCAAATAGAGCAGCTTCTTATTAGAAACAGCTGTTTAAATGAAATCTTCTGGCATAATCTCTGACTATCATTTGCATTTTGGGCTGACTTCTTAATTGTGTTAAAATCTTATATTGTTCTGTCATTTACTTTGGTGAATCTTGGGCCTGTTTCATTCATTCTTCAGATAATGTTTTTCCTTCATGGTCCTCCCTGGGCTTTTATTAAAGCAAAAGGAGTTTTCCTCTCTTTACTTAATAAAATAAACCAACAAAATGTGAGGAGAAATACTCATATTTAAAATGACTTTCTCTCTGTAAGACATTTTGGTATCTATTATTTAATTGTTTAGTTAATGATCATCTGTTATTTTTAACGACTGGAAAAACTAAGGTGATGACACTGAGAAGTTTATCCACGATTTCTATTGTAATGATGCTAGATGAGGAAAGTAAGTTTTGCTGGTAATATTATTCACCCTAAAGCCTCATGCAGTATTTGTTCTTGATTTCATTAATCAAGAAATAACTGATTGGATCTCTTTTATCTCCTCCAACACATAGTGAACAATTTCAAAACATGAAGCAAGAATGCTAGAAATATATAATTCATATATATATATATATATATATATATATATATATATACACAAACATTTAATATACTATCTTTATCACATATTTATTCTATGTTTTATGTATTACCAATAATATTACATATGTATTTTTCCATTAATCCAGTAAGAAAGGTGGTATTGTCCCCATTACAGGTCAAAGGGAATGGACTCTGGGAGGGCCAATGGGGCTGGGAGTCTTCTTACAAGAGTTCTTCCTTCTTATATTTCTTAATGTAGAAAGTATTGTGTCTAATTTACTTATAGTACATCACCTCCTCAAACTTCTGTAGAATTAAATGAATTCTAGTTTTTATCAAGTTTTATCTAGTTTATCAAGTTTGATGAAAAGTTCCTGCCCTCTGTCTCCCATTGTTCTGGGATTTCTCTTGAGCAGCTGGACGATGGTGCTGGTATCGTGGGAAGCTGGCACACAGTTCGAGTCCCAGGAAGTGAAAATGAGCTGCATTTAACTGAACTGGAGCCATCTAGTCTTTATGAAGTTTTGATGGTGGCAAGAAGTGCTGCAGGTGAGGGTCAGCCAGCCATGCTCACCTTCCGAACCAGCAAAGGTGAGTATGAATTTCTATTGGAAGAATGAGCTGGCTCTCTTGATGTCAATTTATTAGTAAGAATCCTTCTATATAGTAGAGATTCTTGGATATAAATGCAAGATATAAATTCTTGGATATAAACAAACTCATTGTAGCATCTCTTTTTTTCCTGCCACATTGGGGCAGTTGTGTTATACTAGTCCATCTAATATTCCATAGGTAAATTTTATATATATATCTCAAAAAGGGCCAGTGATACAGTTCAGTGGTAGAGTGCCCCTGGGTTCAGTCCCTAGTAACACCCCTACACACATAAATATATAAATATATGAGAATATATGTATATTTATATGTGTATGTGTGTGGTACTGAGGATTAAACCCAGGGTCACTCTACAACTGAACTGTATCAATGGCCCTTTTTATTTTTTATTTTTATACAGGGTCTTGCTAAGTTGCCCAGGCTGGCCTCTTGAACTTGCAACCTTCTTGCATCAGCCTCCCAAGCTGCTGGGATTACAGACATGTACCACTTGACCCAGCTCCACAAATATTTTTGAAAGCTTGTGATACGCAAGGCTTTAGGATAGGTGATGCAGGGAAGACAGAGATGGACATGACAAGAGCCATCTTAGTTGAGCTATGCTTTGATAGGGAAGGTAAGATACATACTTAAATATCAGCAAGACAGAATTTAATTCTGTTCAGATAATATTTACTGAGTACAAAAATAGGCAAAACTCCTTGCCCTCACAGAGCCCATATTTTAGTTGGGATAGCCTTATACTTAAGTTGTTAAGTCTTTTTAGAAGGTAGTCTTAACAAGTGAAATGAATTAGGGGACAGATACGTAAAGTGTATAGGGAGGAGTGGTTACAATTTAAGGAGGTGGCCAAGGAAGTCCTCAACTAGTGATAAGTTGCAGAGCAACTTGAAAGAGAGAAAGTAGAAAGTCATGTGGGTATCAGGGGAGAGAACATTTTTAGCAGAGAAGAGCAGGTTCCAAGGCCCCAGGGTGGGGTATGATTATCATGACCCCTAGAAATATCAAGGGGCCACTGTGACATGAGCAAAGTAAGGAGGGGGTGGCTATTATGGAAAGGTGCTCAGGGAGATGACAGGGTAGTCAAATCACACAGTACTCTGTGTACTTTGCAAGGACTTTTATTTTTCCTCTAGATGAGCTAGAGCTTTTGAGCAGAGCAGGGATGTGATGTGCTAACTGGTGATTCTCTGCTAACAGGGCATGAAGTGCAGGTGGACTGGAGGAAGGCAGGAATGTAGGCAAAGATACCCGAATATGGCAGGTGCTAGGAGATTTCTAAACAGGGTGTGAGAGTACATGGGAAGGATCGTCCTGTGGAGCAGTTGGGAGGGAAGGCTTGATTGAAGATGCCATCATGGCTGGCCAGGAATCAGTGGGTGGAGATGGGAACTGGGTGGAAGAGTTTTTCAGTTTGTCACTGTGATAAAAGGGAGATCTAACGATTGAGAAGAAATTATCTATTAGCTTTTGAGAAAGATTGTTCTGTCTAATTACTAAGTGTGGCCAGAAAATAATGAATACTTCTTAAATGCATCTTGTCTTAATTTTCACCATCAGTCCTTAGTTATAATGAGTCTAGCCTATAAATATGGAAGAATAAACATGTATTTCAGTTTTCTTAAAAAGTCACTTGATGTCTCTTTTTGCCTATTGAAATATTGAAACGTATTGTGACCTTTTTCCTGTGGAAAAAAATTAGCAGGAGTTCTTTAAAATGAATTTTATTTTAAAGTTAAGGAATATGTACAGTTTTAAAAAAAGGGCTAATTGTTTAAAGCCTTCACTCTCCTCCTTTGACTTCTTCACAAGAAGACACTTTTAGCTTTCTTTTAAAGATACAAGAAAAAGACAAAGTAATATTTTATCAATTCCTAAGCTCAGTTAAGTATATATAATATAGGTGATAGATTTTGATGCTGTAGAAGATAAATTCATATCTATAGCTATGTGTCAGTTGAGTTTCACAGTACTCTTTTTTTTTTTTTAAAGTTGTTACCTAAATAAGCTTATGTTGCAGTGGTTTTCATTTATTTTATTTTAAACCTTCCTAGAAAAAACAGCATCATCAAAAAATTCCCAGGCCTCTTCTCCACCCGTGGGCATCCCTAAGCATCCTGTGGTTTCAGAGGCAGCAAACAACAATTTTGGAGTGGTGCTTACAGATTCCGCCAGGCATAGTGGAGGTAAAGAAAGGAGTCTTCATTTTATTTATTTGCTTATGTGTGTAACTGCCCCATTTCAGGCTTTTGGGAAATGGAAGAGAAATAGAGTGTATTGGTTATTCAAATTATATTTCCACATAGCTCTAATAGGTTCTATTTCAACCATTTTTAACATTCAGGCCTTAAACATTGGCAACCAGTGTCATGATTGTTATTTTACCTAAGAAAACTCAGATTCAAAATGTTGTGCTACCAAGTTTTTATAACTCATGAAAAGGGTTTTTTGTCTCTTCTTTAGCAAAAAAATGAAATTTACATTTTAAGTTCTGAAAATCTGAATTATTGTGTGTTTGTGACTTTTCAGAATGTATGGTGGTATAATGTTAAATTATTTTACTGAAAGATAACATGTCATATTCACTACTATTGCTGTATCTAATTAATCTTAGGATTTTTTAAGTTTTTGTGCAGTAAAATATTTAAAAAGACTTCTTTTTAAAATTTAAACTTCATATTTATCAGTGTGCTATGCCTCACCCCCAATATGCTGGGTATCAAACCCAGGGCCTTGTGTATGCTCAGCAAGCTCGTTGAGCACAATCCCAAACCCCCTAAGTGTTTTTGTGTTTGTGCTAATGCTTTGGGACAGTTAGGGAAGATTTCACATTTCACTGCTGAGCTCTTAAAAGTTTGTGGATATCTCTCTCGTGTTTTTATACTTTTCCATGAATTTGTCTCAGACAAAATGAGGTCAAAACACTTTGACTCTGTTGTCAATATCATGAGCCTTGCTTTCCTCAGTTCTTCTACCTCAGAGAAGGCACATTTCCAATATCTTAAGTAGATTACTCATATGGGTATCACCTTTATGTGACTAAAGTTAACATTTGAAAATCAAAAACTTTATTTATTTAACAAACCCTGTGGAAGACACTTTGCTAAATGCTAGAACAGCAGAGAAAAAAAATAATCCTTTCTTTCAGGGAGTTTATGGTGGATGATAGAGATACCTAAACCCACACTAACGAGTGGATGAAATTAACAATGAAGCTCGTAACAACAGAGTAGGTAACATAGACAAGCCAGGAACAACAATTTTGATTTTTTCTGCTTGAAATTATATCTGTGGTCACAAAAGAAATACTCATCCTCCTCCGCTTACAGAGGAGGATGAATAGCAACAAGAGAAGCTCTTTAGCAACCTGAGCTAAGCCTCAGAGGACAAGAATGACACAGTGAGGTGAAGAAACAGGAAAAGAGGTTCTACGCAAAGACATCTCCTTGTGCAGAGATGGACAAATGACAGGCTTCATTTAGAGATAAGAGATCTTATTTACTGTGACTGGTTGCCTGAGGATGATGCAAGTGTCGGGGAGACAGGTAGGTGCCAGGTGCCTTGTATGACACCCTAGTTTATCTTTCTCTGGGAGCTAAAGAACTAAAGGATTTTAAAGATGGAGAGGGAGGAATGGCAAAAGGTAAGGTTGGAAAAATAAAGACGATGGTAACAGTATGAATGAAGAGGAGGTCACGTGTGTGATTAGAGGAAGAAATCATCATTGAAGGAGGGAGAGAGATGGTGATTTGGGCTTGGGCAACTAGGGATCATTTACTAGTGTGGTTAATAGGAGATTATGGATTCAGTTCTAAAAGTCCTGAGTTTGGAGTTATCCAAGCAGAGAAAACCCTAAGAAATGACTTATTTGATCTTTGTAATAACTAATGAGGAAGGTAGCTTATCCATTTTATACATTAGGAGATGAGGCTCCGGGAGGTCTAGCAGCATGCCTGAGGTCATACAGACAGAGCTGCTATTCAAGTCCATATCTTCCAACTTGTTAAAAGTCACTTGCTGTTTCTTTTAGATATGAAAGATATCTTTCTCTATAGAGGTATTTTCCCCAGTAACTTTTTTTTCCATATTTGATCCTTTGGTATTTGGTGAATTTGAACCGCATATGAATCAATGGGAAAAAAGTCATTTGGTGGTCTAGTATTTTTAAGAGATTCACTAACAGTTCTATTCATTCTGTTTTCATTGCTTTCTAATTAAAAGGAATACAGTAAGTATTAAAGTTGCCTGCTTTGAATATATTCCTCTTTTTATCCCTTAAACAATGTTTTTAAAATTCTGTGGTTTTCATATAAGTACTGTGTTCAACATTATTTCTTCTTTCTTATGTATTTGGAATGAGGATTGAGGAGGTGTTAGGATGGAAGTATTTTGTGACTTAGGCTAAAGAGGCAGGGCTCCCTTGGTGGATTTGCCGGAATCCAGTCATCATGGCCCAGAGTTGCCCCTCCACTTTCCAGCTTTAGAAACTTGGTTGTCATTATGCCAAAAGATCATTGGTCTCTTGAGAAACAGCTCACATTTACAAATTTCACAGTGAATATGACTAATGTAAACTAGAATGGCAATTTAATAGTTTGCAGTGTAACTGTCATACAAGCCAGATTGTTTCTCTCAGCATCCTTCTCTCATGGGAACCAGGTGGGAAGCCAGTTACATGACCACCAAATTACCTGATCAGTGAGATAAGTTAGGTACATGATTTAATCCTGCAGTTTCTACCTGCCACAGGTAGAATTTGAGGACTTCCAATTTGAGGACTAGGGTATATTGAAAGCTACCCCAAATTAGTTCCCTGGCCCCATTTTCTTCATGTTCGGGGGGATCGTCTTTCTAATAGCACCTTTCTTTGGTTATATATCTTGTCTTCCTGCTTTCATCCTGAATAACATTCTCCCCAGCCACTATTATTAGTATTGATTTTATAATCAAATTTTATCTCTACTTGCTGCTTGCAGTCTGTATTTTGGAATAGCTCATAATCTTGAGGTATATTAAAATAGGATATAATAGTAATAGTTAATATAATACCCAGCAGGTTGCTGAATATGTTTATGTAATTTAGGTGGATAAAGAAAAAATATTTAAATAAGATAATTCATAATTGTGAGAATTATGAAAACTGTAACCAAAGACTTAAAGCACCGAATAATAATTTTTTTTACACATTGTCTTGGTCATGAATCTAAAATACCATAGTCAAAGTTATATTCATTAACTTAGTCTTTCAGAGCTAATTATCAAGCCTACAGTACATTTTACTTTTCTTTTCTACATCTGATCATTTCATTTCCCATTCACTTTTAAATGGGAAATGGAACATAGCCACAATATTATGAACTCTGGCAAAAAAAGTTTAGTGAGGAACCTTTAATAACATGAGATTTGAGATTTATTCCTTTTAATTTATTTGAGTTATTCTTGTCTCTAACACTGTGGGTTATTGTGGAATGAATGTTTCCATTTTCAGTTCCAGAGGCTCCAGATCGGCCTACCATCTCCACTGCATCAGAGACCTCTGTGTATGTCACTTGGATTCCCCGGGCGAATGGTGGGTCTCCAATTACTGCGTTCAAGGTGGAATATAAGAGGATGAGGACTAGCGATTGGCTGGTGGCAGCTGAAGATATCCCTCCCTCCAAACTTTCTGTGGAAGTTCGTAGTTTAGAACCAGGTAGTAATATTCAAATGTTTTCTTTCTTTTTTAACCACCAGTGCTATTTAAACTTTATTTAAATAAAGATTTTTAATAATCTTGTGGGTTTCTTTTCTAATTGTTAAAATAATGAATGCTTGTTGTCTTTACTTCTGGGTTTTAGATTGTTGCTGTTTATTTGCCATTGGAAATAATGTTGTGATTCATCTTTCTATGTATGTATTTTACTATGATAGACTGTTATAGGAAGAAAATCTTGCTATTTCATTAAACTTGTTTGATTAGATGTTGAATCTCAGCACAGTTATACTCAGTATACTTATGAGACCATAAACACTTCTTCTATAAATTTTGTTTCATCAGAGGATTTCCTCCCTACCCCCCAAATCTTGAGATTATATTAAAGAGATTAAGCCATAAAAGAGATAAAAATTAAGGCAGTATTTGTTTGGATTCATGACAATTTTCACTTCTGGACTTTTAAATGTACACTAGTAGGAAATGCCTGTGTTTGTCTAACTGTGTTTTGTGAGGAATGTAGGAATCCATCAGCGTAGTCAGGAGAATGTAGCTTTTTAAATGTGGTTGTGAAGCTGAGTAACATTTCAGAGATTGAAAATATTATCTTCAGAAGCCCAGTGATTGTTTTTGAGTGATTAGGAAACTCGGTATTAGGATTTTGATTTATTCTTTAGGTTAAAATTTTTAAAAATTCATAACCCTTAGAATTTGTAATATCTTCTTCCCCACAAATTCCTTCTGTGATCATTTAAATCTGCTCCTCCTTATTCTAGTACCTTTGAAACCAGAATGTCATCTGCTGTTACCCACATGGTGCCTGTTTATAAATGTTAAATTTTGGCTAAGTTGTTTCTTTCATAATGAAAAGAACCTGGTGTTGAGGATAAATACTTCAACTAATCCTGGCTCAGATGGGTGTGACTTTGAGTGGGAAGATGAAGAGTGAATGTCCCTTTTCCTGTTCTCTACCTGCTCCTTCTATGTCATTAATCTTCCACAGCTTTGGTTCTTGGCGACTCTATTCTAATAATGACTTGAAATCCTGAACCCAGGGTATAGAACAACCCCCTGCAGTTGATTGAAATTGGCAAGTGGGTTGAAATTTGTTTTCTGTGCCAGCATCAGAGTGTGTCATTGTAGTTAGGCACTTAAGCACAACTGCCATAGTTTGAATAGTCTGCCTTCAGATATGGCTTTTTATGGTTATGGGTTGTTTTTGTTTTCCCCCCAAAGGTTCAACGTACAAATTTAGGGTCATTGCCATCAACCATTATGGTGAGAGTTTTCGAAGTTCGGCTTCTCGTCCCTATCAGGTGGCTGGATTCCCCAAACGTTTTTCCAATCGACCGATAACTGGACCTCATATCGCCTACACAGAGGCTGTTAGTGACACACAGATCATGCTAAAGTGGACGGTACATAAACATCTTCTCTAATGAGAATATTTCCTGGTTTGTTTCTGTTAACAATTTAATATTCTCATGATGTGAGCAACAAATAAATGGTTGAACCTTAAGTTGAGGGGAAATTGAAAGCCATCAATTTTTGTCTAAAGGCACATGGTCTAAGAGGGGTGTGGTTAAAAATAAAATTAATGTTTCCACAGCTCTTATCCAAGTGTTGCTAACCTAATTGCCACGTTATGCCTTTGAACCTAGTGAAGTGCATACTGGTTTGGTTTTGTTTGGTCCAGCATTTGGCTTACTGCTCTTATTACCTTTGAAAACCTTTGAATTAAGTTTAAAATGGCCATTAAATATGCTTGAAAAATGAAGCTATATTACCATACTGGTAAAGAAATCTTAATAGGTATGACAGTTAACATTCTTTTTGTCTTTGACAATTCTTTACTACTTCTTCTTCTTTTTTTTTAGTACATTCCATCAAGTAACAATAACACTCCCATTCAAGGATTTTATATCTATTACCGACCAACAGATAGTGACAATGACAGTGACTATAAGAGGGACGTTGTAGAAGGTAAGTCCCACTGGCAAACTGGAGTACCCATGAAGGAACTTTGAAGGTACAGGCCTTATAAACATGAAATGCATCATCACAAGTTAGGATAGAATAAAAAATGAAATTGAATATGTACTATTATTGTTGAATTTGTTTCAATTTTTCCAGTTTATTTATATAGTACAAAACATATTCATTGTAGAAACAGTTACAAAAGTTAGGGGGGAAATATGATTTTTCAGTAGTTCATCTGAAAAAGATTTTGATTTCTTTTTTTCTCTAAATGACCAACAATCTGTGTATAAATCAGTGGCAACTTCTATCTACATTTAAAAAATAATGTCTCAAACAGTTTCTTTATACCAGAAATATCACATCTTAAGCACATTATCTACTTTTGGAGATACTAAGAAATTGGAATGCATGTAGAGAAAAAAAAGAAAGCAGACACAATGGTGAAGGGTGTCAACACTGCTTTTGTAGTATTTAAGACAAAATTCAGAATTTCGCATTCAGTTCCTGCCTCCGCCTTCAGCCATGTCTCCTGCATCTCTCCCTTACTCATTGGATACCCACCACACTTACCTTCTTTCTGCTTCCTCATGTGCACCAACATTTTTCTTGTCTCAGGACCTTGGCAGAGGGTAGTTCCTACCACCTACTATACCACTGTCCCCACGCTTTACCAAGATATACCCACTTTTTTCTCTGGGGTGTTTAAATGTTACTCCCTCAGATAAATCTTCCCAAAAGTTCTGAAATTATTTGCTTAATGTTTGTCTTCCCTACCAAATATTAACCTCCCTGTGGACATGGGGCCCCTTCTCTCACTGCTCTGTCCCCAGTCTTTACAGTGGTGAGGTGCTCAGTATTGAATGAATGAAAGATTATAAATGGAATCTCAAAAGAACAGTGGACTATCTAGTGATGCTCAGAATGGAAAAAAGAAGACCGAGAGAAGCAACACAATAGCTGTCTTCATGTATTTACTGTTATGTGGAAGAGGAGCTAAGTCAGTTGGGGGATGGGAGGTTATAAGGAAATAATGTAAGAACTTTCTAACATAACATGTCTAATGTAGATTTCCTCCCTAGCTTCGGAAGTATAGAAGCTGGATACCTCTCTCTTTCTTCCTTCTTTCCCTCCCTTCCTTCCTTCTTTCTTTCTCTCTGTGTGTTTTTATTTGGTGCTGGGTATTGAATCCAGGGCCTTGCACATATTACCAAGTATTCTACTATTGAGCTGCACCCCAGCCTAAAGGTGCCTAATTCTTAGTAATATCTTGGATAGGTTTCTTGCTCTGAGAGGAGGTCTTTTTTCACTCCCAGATTCTGATTCTTTGAGATATTAAATTTCTTGGCTGAGAGTGTAGCTCAGAGGTACAGTGTGTGCAAAGTCTTGGGTTTGATACTCAGCATCAAAAAAAAAAAAAAAGAAAAGAAAAAGAAATATTAAGTGTTTTAATGAATCATGTCAGAAAATTGTCCTAGGCCAAGGTTATTTTCCATGACTTGTTGACATCAAATGTCAACATATAGTTTTTGTTACAACAAATTTCTTTTTTTAAAAAAAACTTTTTGTTCTTTTTAGTTATACATGACAGTAGAGTGTATTTTGGCATATCATACATACATAGAGTATAACTTCCCATTTTAATGGTTTACATGATTTACACTGGTCATGTATTCACATATGAATATTGGAAATATAACAAATTCCTTTAAATATGCTGTATTATATTTCTCTATGGTCTCATTCTTTTTAATATCTATCCAATGGAATTTTGTCATATAATGAAAAATTTATGATCTGTGCTCTTATACTTGGCATATAGTAGGTGGATGTTGAATCATTTTTAAATGAAGGAATGATTGTTTCCCTTCTGCCATAATTTGTAGTGGCAAAGGTGTTCTGTGCCTTTCGAAGTTAAGACTGTAAAGGTCTGGAGGGAGAGAAGGGGCTGGAAGGAGCATGGAGGGACATTGGTGATGTCAGCAATGTTCTTTCTTGACTGGGTATTGGCTGTGTTCACTTTGTGAGCATTCATTGAGATGTACAGTTATTTGTAACTTTTCTGTATGCAGATTATATATATCAACAAAAAGCCTATTAAGAAAGAAATAGTAAGAATTTTGATGATTCTGCCTTTTGGTCTTATCTAAGTCTTCCTTTTATTTAACTGGATTATGGGAATGAAAAGTCAGATTTTTATTTAAATATTTTTTTACAGTAAACATTTGTTTATGAGGTAGCTCTGAATAGTTTAAGACAAATATAAATAAAATGAATATCCATTTCTGTCTCTTTCAGTGTCCACTTCTCCCTTCCTAGTTCTAATACTTTATTGGAATATCTGCTGGTATAAACAGTTTTTAAACTATATTCTCTAGGCGAATCTTTGAGCCTTAACAAACTTCTGTGATGTCATTGTTGAGCGTGGACTTGGAAATTAGTTCAACAAAAGCTTTGTGTCTAGTATAGTGTCTGCAAATGTTGAATTTTTCCTTATGGTTCAGGAAGAACTGTTTATAAATGTAATATATTGAGCAGTTAGATGTTTAAGTGGGCTTCACTGTGCTGTGTAATTTGCTTATTCCTATTTTTGAGTTTATACATTTGAAATTCTTTTTGTGGTATTTGGAACCATTGGTTTGTTTTCCTAAACCCAGTAACAAAAATACTCATCATTTGGACTTAAAATTTTTCTTTAAAACTTTTTGATTCTTACACATAATCAAAAATTTAAAACTTAAGCTTTAAAAAAATTGAAGCAATTAAATTTAAAAAAACACAGTACAAGAACAGTTATTTTATTGAAATTATCCAACCTTCCGAATTAAGTTTCACATTTAGGTAAACTATAAATGTTTCCAGCATACCAATGCTTTTAGGCTGAATATTTTTATCTTGTTGAGTTCCAAGTAAATCAAATCTAAGGTCATTCTTTTAAGTCCGTGCTTTTCTTTCTCTGTGGAAAGTCCTTACCTTTTATAAAACATCTTTTGGGAAAATAAAGGATAAGTGCTCATTGATTGGTTATAAGCCAATTAATGTGCATCATTGTCTTATTCATCAATGATTAGTAGATTCCTTAACTTTGCTGATAATTCCTAAAATTTTAGCCATTGGAGGAATTTGTGTAACAACAGAACATGAACCTAACAGGATAGATATTATTTTAACTCTTTTCTCTTAGTTACATATCAGAAACCTAGTTTGATTCCATTTGTACTAGTGCTGTGAAAGGAAAATTTCAAGTCTAGGTTAGTAATTATTCAAGAGAATGTTTATAATAGGTGGGTATAGGACCAGCTCAAGAAAGACCTATGGCTAGAGTAAAAATATAAGCCTTTTGGGAAGTTTTTAGATTTTAAAAATAAGTCTATTCCAGTTTCAAACAGTTTGGGGGTAAAAAAAAATTGGGGGGAACAGCTCTCTTTACACTTATAGACAGGGCATAGAATTCCTCACTTCTTGAGCCTTCAGAGACCCTTGATCCTAAAACAAGCAAATTTTCTTCTTTATAAAATGAGTCTATATGAGAGAGGGATCGTGTATTGGTGACTGGGAGGGGGATTCCACTTCCTGATTGAAATGTTTTTGTCTGTGTTGCATTAGAAAGGAGCCTGTGATACTGGTCCTGTCAGCCAAGTGGATTTGAGTTGTGCATGTGGTTTTGTTTTGTTTCTCTCCTTTAATTAATTCTTAAATCAGTTGGTGGTATACTTGAATTTCTAAGAAATAGTGGAAACAGTTTGAAGAGTGTTTTCTAAGAGGGATTAAGAGTGCTCGAAGAGTTAATTAAATCTGGCAAAAGTGTCCCTGTTTATGAAAGTTTGTCACAGGCCCATGGAAGTGAAAATGGAGAGTGATTTATATTGGAGTGTTCAGTTAAGGAGTGTTTCTAAATGAAACCTTGGCTGTGTGCCATGGATAACAGAATCATTCTATTAGAGATACTTGTGTGGTTTGGAGACCCGGACTCAAAGGGAAAGTGGCTTTGGGAGCAGCTGCTGAGAGTTTCCCATACTAAGTTTTGCTTTTTGTTGACTCTGTGCAATTTATTAAGGTGTTTCTTTATGAATCAGTCCATGGGTTGTGTCCATGACAATGGACATGAGAGTTTCTCTGAGGCCTTTCTTGAAACTGATCACTTGTTCTGGGTGGTACACTGTTTGCTTATCTCATATGTAGTGCTGCTTTTTGGTGGTGGACGTAGTGGATTGACTTTGGGGCTAAAATGTAGGCCAAAGGACTTGAAATTGTCTTACCTATGCATGAGGTTAATGTGTATTTTATGAAAGACTCACCACTAATTATTTTTATTAAGACAAGTATTACTGTCAAAATACAATAGCTTTAACTCACTTTATCTCTTTACCTTTATTCCATGCTACTTAATAGAAATGCTACTTACTTGTGGCACATTATTCAAATACCTAATATTTACATTTTTATTGCATACACCATACTGGGTGGTGATGGATGCTATTTTAACCTCGTTCTGAAAAATTGAATAATTTTATTGACATAATCATTTAGGTTGTATGATGTGCAAATCTTATTTTTTATTTTTCTTTTCTAGGTTCAAAGCAGTGGCACATGATTGGTCACCTCCAGCCAGAAACCTCCTATGATATTAAAATGCAATGCTTTAATGAAGGAGGAGAGAGTGAGTTTAGCAATGTGATGATCTGTGAGACTAAAGGTAGGAGAGGGGTGAGAATTTGTGCTTTCTCCCTGGGCAGTATACAGATTCCGAACTCTGGATGATTCCTTCAGATTGTTGATATATTTCCCTAAGGGAATTTCTGCTTTGCTCCATTTTCTAGGTGCTGACATTTAGACTATCCCAACATAAATATAATATGTTGGTTAGAGAACTTGTCTAAAAAAACATCTACATAAGCATTAATTCTGCTTATTAATTTCTGTGTAACTCTGGATAAATTAATTCCCTTCTCTTTTAATCCATGCAGAGAATAGAGATTTTCTAATTGCTTTCTGAGATTTCTGTGAGAATTAGAATTCTAACAAAACTATAGATACTAAGAAAAAGTGCTACGTATGTATTTAGTCAGTTTTCTGTTACTATAATGAAATACTTGAGGCTGGGTACTTTATAAAGAGAAGAGGTTTACTTCTGGAGAGTAAAGGATGTGGCGTTGGCATTAGCTCAGCTCTGATGAGAACCTCATCACACATAAAATCACAGTGATAGGAATGTATGCAAGGGAGAGATCACTTGGTGAGACAGAAAGCCAGAATGTCCAGGAAGATGTCAGGCTTGTTTTTTGTTGTTGTTTTTTGTTTTTAGAGAGAGAGAGAGAATTTTAGTATTTATTTTTTAGTTTTAGACAGACACAACATCTTTGTTTGTATGTGGTGCTGAGGATTGAACCCGGGCCGCACGCATGCCAGGTGGCGCGCTACCGCTTGAGCCACATCCCCAGCCTGATGTCATGTTTGTTTTAACAACCCTTTTATGAGAACTAACTCTAGTCCATAAGACTATCACTTTCTCCCTAGGGCACTCCCCCCTGTGAATATCCACTAGGCTCTACCTCTTAAAATTGCCGCCACCTCCTAACACGGTCACACTGGGAACCAAGCTTCTAACACATGAACTCTTGGGGAAACACGTTTAAATAGCAGTAAGTTTAAAGCAGTTGCTTGATTGACATATATGTACACAATACACACACACAAAAAAAATTTTTAAATTATATATAGATTTTAAGTTTAGAATAAATAACCACCAATTCTAAATTGACATTCTCCACCTACTGACTGAAAATGTTATCAGCTTTAAAACAGAAGATATAGTATGTGTATAATCGAAACAGCTAATGTGGATATTTATAAAGCAATATTATTCCATCTAGTCCCAATTAATCTTCATACCCACTTGGCAACTGTAAGTAACAAAATCCTCACCAAGTAGGCTTCAGCACTGAGGATGTGTGTTAGCCCAGATAAGAGGTCTGGAGGTAGGTAACTAACATCAAGTTGTTTACTTCAGAAGTTCGTTGGTTTCTGTCTTTCCACTTGCCATCCTCTGGTTGTCCCTGTAACCCTGTGTCTAGCATCACTCTGCTTGCCACACTTCTGGCCTTCACACCTAGGTATTGTGATGTCTGATAACGCCTGTTTTTAAGACCAAGAAAATTTCCCCCCAAAGTCCAATAACCCCACAGGCCTTATTGGCCAGATCTCAATCACATGCCACCCCCAAGCCAAATCATCAAGATTATTTGCTGGATTTGCCCCAGAATTAGGTGGGGTTTGGGTGGACACCTAAACACACTCCAGGCTCTGCTAACATAAAAGGAAAAGGCTATTTACTGGACCGGGCAGCCATTAATACCTGCAACAGGTGTTTCTCTTATCCCTATTTAAAAATGAGGATATGAGAAAATAAATTAAAAAACAAAATGAGGAAGTGGTTTAAAAGATTGAATTACAAAGTCAATGCTTATTTCCATCTTTTAAGTTCTAAGTCAAGTGTCTTTCTGCTGCAAAAGTCTTATATTAAATTCACAAACAATATATACACATACATACACATACACACACACACACACACACACCACACATAGACCTTACTTTGAATTTCATTTGGTTAGTATATATTTGAGTGCCTATTTGAATCCAGATACTGATGTATTCATGAGCCTTTCTTACTTGCCTCTAGAGTGCTGTAATACTCAATAAAGTGAAATAAAAATGAAATGTATCATCTCTTTCACCAACACATTTAAGAATCTTGCCAAACAAAGCAGAACAACACTAGGTTATGGGTGTAACTCAGTGACAGCGTACTTGCCTAGCATGCATGAGGCCCTGGGTTCAATCCCCAGCACCACAAAAAAAGGAAGGAAGGAAGGAAGGAACTGAGATAATGTTATAGAAGTGTGTTTAAATTTATGTAGCTCATTATCTGACTTTGCTAGCGAACAAAAGATTATACCTGTAGACTTTCAGATAGTGAAAAAACCTCTTTGAAATGTGAACTGTTCGTATTGAATGACTTTCTAAAATGGATCACACAATTCCTAGCCTTTTTAGATAGAAGATAGGATATATGATTTACTCTTTTAAAAAACATGGGTCCTGGGTCTCGTTGTGAACAATGATTGTTTTATCTTAAGGAATTCAAAAACGTTCCAGGATGGTGGAGGTATTACAGGACAGCCCTTTCCCTTCTCATTACAGAGCAGAGACTGCCATGATTTTTCCTTTAGTTTTTTATTTTAACCCCATGTTTGTAACCCCACATTTCTCACATCAGGCTCTTAGCCCTCTGTTCTTATTGCTATTGGTGTGTCTGTCACACTCATCCCCAGCACAAGTCAATAATCTTCAGCCTTTGGTTTTAGAAAAAGATTGGAAAGCAGATGATCAAGCTTATTAGAAATGCAGATAAATTAAAAATAAATTTGATGGCTTCCTTATGAAAAATCATATCTTTAATGTGTTATAAGAAATATCTGTTTTTGCCTTAGAAATTCGTTTTCTCTAGGGTTGGCAAGGACCTTAGGATTGTATAATCTCACATACCACCTGAAGTATAAATTGCTTCTGGATTCTCTGCTAAATTTTCATTCAACTTCCAAAAAAGGAGAGCTCCTTCCTTCAAGAAATGGGCTCTTCTTTCTTTATTTATTCCCAGCTCTGTTCTATGTGGCTGATATTGCTAGAAAGTAGAACCCTAGTTTAATTTTGTTTATTGAGTAGCTTTTCCAAAGCCTACTTAGCTCCTATGACTTGCCCGAAGTCCTAACAGGAAATACAGTATAACTAATAATAATAGCAAAATTGCTCACACCATGTGCCAGGCTTGAAGTGTTTTCTATGGATTAACACATTTACTCTTTTTTTTCACTTTATTTTTTATTAATTTTTTTATTTATATATGACAGTATATAATATTACAATTCTTTTTTTTTAAAGAGAGAGAGAAGGGGGGAGAGAGAGAGAGAGAGAATATTTTTTAATATTTATTTTTCAGTTTTCGGTGGACACAACATCTTTATTTTATTTTATGTGGTGCTGAGGATTGAACCCAGCATGCCCCGTGCATGCCAGGCAAGCGCGTTACCTCTTGAGCCACATCCCTAGCCCTATAATTCTTATTACACATATAGAGCACAATTTTTCATATCTCTGGTTGTATACAAAGTATATTCACACCAATTCATGTGTTTATACATGTACCTTGGATAATTATGTCCATCACATTCCACCATCATTTCTAACCTCATGCCCCCTCTCTTCCCCTCCCAACCCTCTGCCCTATTTAGAGTTCGTCTATCCCTCCCATGCTCCCCCTTCCTATTCCACTATGAATAAGCCTCCTTATATCAGAGAAAACATTTGGCGTTTGTTTTTTTGGGGATTGGCTAACTTCACTTTAGCATTATGTTCTCCAACTCCACCCATTTACCTGCAAATGCCATGATTTTTTTCTCTTTTATTGCCGAGTAAAATTCCATTGTGTATATATGCCACATTTTTTAATCCATTCATCTATTGAAGGGCATCTAGGTTGGCTCCACAGTTTAGCTCTTGTGAATTGTGCTGTTATAAACATTGATGTGGCTGTGTCCCTGTAGTATGCTTTTTGTGCTGCTACAACAAAATACCACAGACTGGGTAATTTGCATATAATAGTTGACCAGGCTTATGGTAGTGGAGGCTGGCAAGTCCAGGTGCTCCGCACCAGTATTGGCCAAGGCTTCTGTGCTGTGTCATAACATGATCGGGGGGCAAGTAGGCAAGACAGAAGGAGGGTCCAAGCTTCAGATAAATGCACTCTCAAGATGTCCAACCCACTCCCGTAATGATGGCATTAATCCATGAATGAGGGCTGAGCCCTCCTGACCTAAGTATCCTTTAAAGACCTTACCTCCTTTTTTTTTGTACCAGAGATTGGATTGAACCCAGGGACACTCAACCACTGAGCCACATACCCAGACCTTTATATTTTTTCTTTCTTTCTTTTTTTTTTTTTTTTTCAAACATTTTCTCAGTTGTTGACAGACCTTTACTTTACTCATTTTTATGTGGTGCTGAGACTCAACTCTTAACTGTCAGCCAAAATAAGTGGAGCATCAAATGTGCCTCACACATGTCAGGCAAGCACGCTTCCACTCAGCCCCAGCCCCTACCCCTTGTATTTTTTATTTTGAGACAGGGTTTCACTAAGTTGCTGAGACTGGCTTTGAACTTGGAATACTCCTGCTTCGGCCTCCTGAGCCACTGGGATTACAGGTGTGCCCTACCATGCCTGGCAAGGCCCTGCCTCTTAATACTCCACAGTGGCAACTAAATTTCAACATGGGTTTTGGAGGCGACATTCAGACCATAGTACTCTTTGCTACAACCTTATGATAGAGCTTTTATCATTGTTTTTCCCAGTTGCAGAAACTTGGATCATAGAGGTACATGTCCTTCAGCTAGTGACAGATGGTGGAGCCAAGATGTGAACCTCAGTGGTGTGGTTTCAGAGCCAGGCTGTCAAACCCTATGCTCCACTGCTTTTCTGTCATTTAGAGCATTAAGAACACATGATTTGGAAATGGAGAGATCAGGTTTAGTCTCACCTGTTGTTAGCTTTTGTTATCACTGTTACCCAGAATACTAATGAGTTAGGTAAAAGTACTGCATTTGTGTGGGCCCCAAAGTCTTTGTTTTGAGGATGTTTAATATTATGTGTCAAGTTTTTGGAATTAGATTTAGTAGTTCTAATAGTTCCAAGTCATATTTTCTAATATTGTTAGTTATTTTTAAACACATGATAAAAGTATAAAATACATAATTCTGAGTCTTATTCAGCACAAAGTATATCAAATAGAAAGGAGTTTGTGTTCCATCTTTAAGCTGAAGTACTTTTATTTCAACTCCTTGGAAGTCTTGTACAAGCATAATTAAACAGATAATCATATAGCAATTTGGGTTAGACCAAGTGTGCATTTTTCTGCTCTTATGATTTCTCTAAAATTTGAGACCTAGAAACTTTGGCACCTTGATTTTTAAGCTCTGGAGTCCTCTTTGTGATTCATTGTTGGTCAGATCATCTCCATAAGGAGAGTAAACAGACTGGCTTGCTTTCCTAACCAGACCTCCTCAGAGAGTAAACCATTTCATAGACTGTATTTGCTCTGACATCATGTTTTCTTTCATATTTCAACTAGTGAGACGTGTCCCTGGAGCTTCTGAGTATCCTGTCAAAGACCTGAGTACTCCTCCAAATTCTTCAGGAAGTGGAGGAAATGCTGGGCCTGCAACCAGCCCTGCCAGAAGCAGTGATATGTTATACCTCATTGTTGGCTGTGTGCTTGGTGTCATGGTCCTCATTCTTATGGTTTTCATTGCAATGTGCCTATGGAAGAGTCGCCAACAGAATGCCATACAGAGTAAGTCATTTATAAGTATTTTCTTCTGTTTTTCTAAAGATGGGTAGAAAAAATATTATCAGAGTAAATATTGATTCCTACCACTTTTGTGTGTTGGTATGGTATAAAACCTGTTAGAGCCTCTTCATTTGGAAGAGGTAACTTATCTTAGCTGTCAGCTAAAATAAGTGGAGCATCAAATTAAATTGCCCAGTAGAAATAAACATCAAGGACCAAACTAAGCAGGTCTCTAAGTAAATAGCTGACTTGGTACTGGAAACTCTGGCTTTGTTGGACCACCAAAGAGGATGAGTACTGTAGGCTTGTGCTCTGGAATTTGTGTCGGAAGACCTTCATGGTGGTGTGGATCAGGTCAGTAGGATAGAAATGGCCTGATGGGGAAAGCAAGGTAGTAGAGACTTTTCTAAATTACCGTTACTGAATGATGCTTACCAGGGGAGATAACATGGTCCTGTCTGTGCCTGATATACCCAAATTGTCTGGCATCCTCCCCCCAGGAGTGTGTCTGGTAATAGCTGTGCTTGCAGATTGAGCAGTGGTACTGTTCTCATTAATAACCTATTTTCCTATCTACCAGAAAAAACAGGATAATCAAGCCAAGAGGAAATTTTCAGACTTTGATGGGAGGAAGATTTTTGTTTTCCCCTTTGGCTTTAGAATAAGGAATGAAAGAAAAGTCAGAAGGCAGTAACAGTGGTAGGCACTTCTGTTGGCCCTTACCCAAGTTGCTCATATAGACACCTTTTAGTTACTAGCTCAAGAAAAAGAAAAGATCTCTTTTAATTGAATGGTTCCTTCCCAGAGGTAGGCAGGGGGAGAGGTGGCAGTGTCAGCATGAAAGGATTGTGATCATTTAGTCTTTTTTCTAAATGACTTTAATGCCATTACATTTAATTGTGTATATGTTCAATCATTAAGAGAAAAGCAATTAACTTGGTTTTCTGAACAAGATTAATCTGATTAAACTCATTTTCCTTTGTGACCTTACACTAAAAATGGTAGATTATCATGACAGTTGTTCAGTTATCTCATTCCACCAGAAGATACTCATTGACTGTCTTCTATGTGCCAAGAGCTATGCTGGACAGTGGAGTTATAAATAACATAAACATGGTCTTTGCCCTCTCAAAGGTCATGGGCTAGTGGAGAAGATGTTCAGTAGGTGTACTGACAATACACTCCTGTGCAAGAAAGCACAGGAATAGGAGAAGCTGTGGAGAGGAGTGCCAGTCTCCACATCTCTAATACCTTTGACAAATTTGTCAAAACCCTGACAGCAAACACTGTACAGTTCAGATACTTTACTGTCTAAGGAATATTTACTTTTTCTAAACTTACTGATAGGCGTGCCTCTATAAATCAGAATTTTTAAAAATACTGTTAATCTAAGGAAGTCAAATAGCCTTCTGCCTTTGGTACCCCACAACTTCCAAATGGCTTACAATGACCCAGAAGTTATATGAACAGTTGGTGAATGCATACACACCACCACCCTTTTATTTCAAAGTGCTGTTTATTGCTACTTGAAATGTCCTATCTAAAATTAGTCTTTGCTAAGGTAGTTGTTGCTGTTTTACACAGTCATTTTCAGCTCTTTGAAGTATCTGAGAATTTAAGCACTTTTGCTTAGTGTTGTCAATACTTTGATAGTTTCAGCTCATTCTCTTGTGAGTGATTTCTTTCTGGTTAATTTATCTTCCCATTAACAGAGTCATGATTAACTCAAAGCTCCTAGCTACTTCCACACTGTAAAGAAAAATAACAGTGGTAACTTTAAATAGGCTTTATAGGAACATTTTTAGAATGTTTTACTTTATAGTCATTTTGTAGTTTCTTAGGGGTTTCACTAATAAAACTTCCTAAGTAATATTGTTCTTTTTAGTATCTGATTCTTTTTTTGTTGTATTCTTTTTTGACAGAATACGACCCACCAGGATATCTCTACCAAGGGTCAGATATTAATGGGCAGATGGTGGAATTTACCACTGTCTCTGGAGCAAACCGAATAAATGGAAATGTCCATGGTGGCTTCCTGAGCAATGGCAGCCTCAGCAATGGCTGCTCTCACCTCCACCATAAGGTTCCTAACGGAGTCAATGGAATTGTGAATGGGAGCCTAAATGGGGGAATTTACTCTGGGCACACAAACTCTCTAACCAGGACACGGGTGGAGTTTGAACATCCTCGTCATCTACTGAATGTAAGAGACTTAATTATAAATAATAGCCTCTCTGTGCCTCAGGGTATCAAAGTACAAGAATGGGTGCTTGGCTTTTTTCGATTTAAGGAACCTCATAGGGTCACATGAATGGAAATAGTATATTTCACTAGCAGGCCCTTGATCCAGAGTAATCTTTGTCAGTTTTCTACCATCAGGTGATATATTTGTCAATTGGTTTCTGTTTTTAAATTGTTTAATTCTCCAAGTTCAATACCAGTAAGGAATAGATGGGAAGTTGTTCTTGAGATGAAACGGAAATACCACTGGGCATAGACCAAACCAGATACTTTATATTTGATTTATTTAAAGCAGCCTGAAAACTCAAATACTGAGAGCTCTGGCAGATGGGGAAACTTCAACAAGTTGGGAATGAGATGGTTGCGGAGGAGATAGTGGCAAACTAGAGTACACACTGAATTAAAGAAGCAACTTCAGTTGAGTGCCTGTTGTCACATAGGGCAGAGGACCCAGTTTGTTAGTTTTTCTGTTTCTTTGAAACATCTATAAATCTAGTTGAAATGATGAGATGTGTATATGTTGGAAACTAATTCCGATTTTCCTTCTTTTTTCTTTGTGGTGCTAGGGATTGAACTCAGGGCCTTGAGCATGCTAGGCAAGCACTCTACCCTAGCCCTAGCTTTTGTAAAGCATTGTGCAGACCATGCAAAACATGTCTCCAGGCCACGAGATTGTGACTTCTGACCTATCATGAGTTTCTTTTGTTTCACTTAGTGTGTTTTGTTGTTCCGACGTGTAAGCTTTGGAATTTTAGAATATTAGTATCCTTTAGTCACAAGGAAGCTTAAAATTCCCTTATTTCAGAGATTGCCTGACATAGCTTAATTTTTGAAATAGGAATAGAATAAGTAGCATATTTTAGATTTATGCCTCTAAAGGGGATTCTCTGTACTAGAGAGATATTCTTTATTTCTTTGTCTAGATAGGCATCCACATTATTTTACTCAAACAGATAACTTATTTAGTTGATCAAATTAAGTGTTCATTTTATTTTTTTTCATTGTTCTGATTAAAGATAAGTTTGCCATAATCCATGATGGACTATAATTTGAACAAATTTGGAGTTTTTTGTTTTTAATGAATTTATTAAGATATTACCTTTGCAGAACAAATCTATAATATATATGTGTCTTAAAGCTAGAAACCTGTGGCTTTTATGTTACCCCACTTTTGCATGTTGTAGAAAAAAATATCCTATTTACTTTAGTGCATCTCATTACTAAAGAGAATAATGATTTCATTATTTTCTGGGGAAAGATATGGCTTATATTCAGACTAGCTAAACTTTTTTTGTCACCATTCCTAGTCTAAACTACTAACATTGTCTAAGAAATCTGGAGGAGAGAGCATTGCAGTTTGAATAACACATGCTGTTTCTATGAGAAGGAAAAATAAGGCTGATATTTGTTTTAGTGTTTGAACAGGGGGCTTTGGATTTTCTGAACAATGACTTGCTATTTAAATAATAGCTGCCCCATTAGGTTACAATTTTTAGAAGTTATCAACTATAATTTTAACCCATTAGTTGTCTTATTCTTCTGGGCAGGAAGAAATAGGGACTTTTTTTTAAATGCCAGGCATCATAAAAATCATTGAATTAACTTTACCATGTTTAGTGATTTGGATAAATGTATTATCCTGAAGGTTATAAACTTCATTTTCTGAACCTTTTGAGTTTGCCCTCAGACTGAAGATAGTGCAGGAATATTCTTTCCCTCAGTATTTTCTTAGTAATTCCTGTTGCTTGTTGGATCAGGATTGCTGAAAGAAATTTTCAGTCTTTTGGTTTGCTTAGATTCTGGCTGTTGTTATGAGACGAATGGAAATGGAAAGTATTCTAGGAAAAACAATTGCCTGAACTTTTCCTAACCTTGAAGGCCTGTGTTGGGTTTGGGTGCAGTGTGACAGCCTCTCCCACCCTTATCAATTTCAGTTCTGCTGTTTTTCATCAGAAAGTAGAATTCTGACTCTGACTCTAAGAGGCCAGTTTGAGTTTTCAAACTTCACGTTTGCCATTGTGCATGTCAAGTGAACATTGTACAATGAGGTATGTGTTAATCTGGGCATTTTTCTTAATTGCTGGGCAATTTCCGCCAAAAGCAACATCAAAATATTAATACTCCCCTCCAGGTCATTGCTGGCTGAGAATCTACTCCATCTGGAAAAATATGACATGTTTTAAAACAGTATAGTCAAGTGAACAGGCCTAATAGAAATAATTACAGGAAAATGAAGATGGGTTGTCTTGTGACATCATTCAAACACACTTTGCACCCTGTTTCTTCAACTGGCATCTCATATAATTTTTCCATGACTGCTAGAAAAGGAAAAATGAATAAGAGGTTATGATGTGTAGTGTATTTTGGGCCCATTAGATTTGAGACACTAAAGGGAAGTGACTAACTTTCTCCCTTCACTTATTTGCCTTTTTCCAGTACAGAAATATATGGAAAAACACAGCAGTTAAGTTTTTGGAGTCCAGTTTAATATTGTGCAGATCTCATTTGAGAATAATAAATAACAAGCATAACATCATTTAGCAAGTACATTAAAAATATCATGTATCCATTTATGATTGACATGGCTTTTGTATTTGTGAGTATTTGGCTACTAGTCTATGGCACCTTCAGCATTTTCTTCTTTTCTTTTTCCTTGAACTTCCTTCCTGACAAGGGTGGTGGAATGTACACAGCAGTCCCCCAGGTTGACCCTCTGGAGTGCATTAACTGTCGGAATTGTCGAAACAACAATAGGTATGTTAATATGTATTTGCACAAATTGTTGTAAGTAAGGGATATGTGTTCTTTATTTTTTTCCTTCAGCAAAGGAAATTCTTGAAATTTAACATAAGGTAGAAAACTCAGAATTTGCCATCTCAAGTTTAAGGCTGCTATTAAGTTTTTGCACTGCTTTATAATTTTTAATCTTTCTGTGCCTCAGTTTCTTTAGACATATATTAATAATATTAAAGCCTTTGTTTCTAGTGGTAATGTTATTAAAATGTTTGATGTTTTTGAAAAATTTTAATTGGAGTCATTCTCTGTCTTTAGTGTTTATTGTTTCTTTTTTTTATTGGTTGTTCAAAACATTACATAGTTCTTGACATATCATATTTCACACTTTGATTCAAGTGGGTTATGAACTCCCGATTTTTACTCCGTATACAGATTGCAGAATCACATCAGTTACACATCCACTTTTTTACATAATGCCATATTAGTAACTGTTGTATTCTGCTACCTTTCCTATCCTCTACTATCCCCCCTCCCCTCCCCTCCCATCTTCTCTCTCTACCCCATCTGCTGTAATATAATTCTCTCCCTTGTTTTTTTTTCCCTTTCCCCTCACAACCTCTTATATGTAATTTTGTATAACAATGAGGGTCTCCTTCCATTTCTATGCAATTTCCCTTTTCTCTCCCTTTTCCTCCCACCTCATGTCTCTGTTCAATGATAATCTTTTCCTCCTGCTCTTCCTTCCTGCTCTGTTCTTAGTTGCCCTCCTTATATCAAAGAAGACATTTGGCATTTGTTCTTTAGGGATTGGCTAGCTTCACTTAGCATAATCTGCTCTAATGCCATCCATTTCCCTGCAAATTCCATGGTTTTGTCATTTTTTAGTGCTGCGTAATACTCCATTGTATATAAATGCCACATTTTTTTTTTATCCATTCATCTATTGAAGGGCATCTGGGTTGGTTCCACAGTCTACCTATTGTGAATTGTGCTGCTATGAACATCAATGTGGCAGTATCCCTGTAGTACGCTCTTTTAAGGTCTTCAGGGAATAGTCCAAGAAGGGCAATAGCTGGGTCAAATGGTGGTTCCATTCCCAGCTTTCCCAGGAATCTCCATACTGCTTTCCAAATTGGCCGCACCAATTTGCAGTCCCACCAGCAATGTACAAGAGTACCCCTTTCCCCACATCCTCGCCAGCACTTGTTGTTGTTTGACTTCATAATGGCTGCCAATCTTACTGGAGTGAGATGGTATCTTAGGGTGGTTTTGATTTGCATTTCTCTGACTGCTAGAGATGGTGAGCATTTTTTCATGTACTTGTTGATTGATTGTATGTCCTCCTCTGAGAAGTGTCTGTTCAGGTCTTTGGCCCATTTGTTGATTGGATTATTTGTTATCTTATTGTTTAATTTTTTGAGTTCTTTGTATACTCTGGATATTAGGGCTCTATCTGAAGTGTGAGGAGTAAAAATTTGTTCCCAGGATGTAGGCTTCCTATTTACCTCTCTTATTGTTTCTCTTGCTGAGAAAAAACTTTTTAGTTTGAGTAAGTCCCATTTGTTGATTCTAATTATTAACTCTTGTGCTATGGGCGTCCTGTTAAAGAATTTGGAGCCCGACCCCACAATATGTAGATCGGAGCCAACTTTTTCTTCTATCAGGCGCAGAGTCTCTGATTTGATATCAAGCTCTTTGATCCATTTTGAGTTAACTTTTGTGCATGGCGAGAGAAAGGGATTCAGTTTCATTTTGTTGTATATGGATTTCCAGTTTTCCCAGCACCATTTGTTGAAGATGCTATCCTTCCTCCATTTCATGCTTTTAGCCCCTTTATCAAATGTAAGAAAGTTGTAGTTTTGTGGATTGGTCTCTGTGTCCTCTATTCTGTACCATTGGTCCACCCGCCTGTTTTGGTACCAGTACCATGCTGTTTTTGTTACTATTGCTCTGTAATATAGTTTGAAATCTGGTATCGCTATACCGCCTGATTCACACTTCCTGCTTAGAATTGTTTTTGCTATTCTGGGTCTTTTGTTTTTCCATATGAATTTCATGATTGCTTTATCTATTTCTACAAGAAATGCCGTTGGGATTTTGATTGGCATTGCATTAAACCTATAGAGAACTTTGGGTAATATCACCATTTTGATGATGTTAGTTCTTCGTATCCATGGACAGGGTATATTTTTCCATCTTCTAAGGTCTTCTTCTATTTCTCTCTTTAGGGTTCTGTAGTTTTCATTATATAAATCTTTCACCTCTTTTGTTAGGTTGATTCCCAAGTTTTTTTTTTTGTTTTGTTTTGTTTTTTTTTTTTGAGGATATTGTGAATGGGGTGGTTGTCCTCATTTCCCTTTCAGAAGATTTGTCACTGATATACTGTTTATTGTTTCTTATCTTGTTACTTTCCACTCTGTAGTACGGGATATTATGAGGGTAAATGAGAGCATGTTTGAATGTAATAGAGGGAAAAAAACACCTTATATATAGTAATTTTTTCCATAGTAATTTTACTAAAAAATTTCCTACTGAATGATTCAACATTTTTTAAAATCCTCAAATCTTTATATAATTAAATAGCAAAATCTTGTTTTTGTTTTAATTTTTCATTTAAAAAGTGATATATATTCATAATATTTCAAACTAGATAAAATTGCACAGAGTAAAATGTGTATTTAAATTTTGACAAGTAGACTATCAGAAAGAGTTCATGCTACTTCTCCATATGTTAATTCCAAAGGAACATCAAAGTTCTTGTATTAACATTACATTAGAAATTTTAGTCCTTCTGTTTACATAATGATGTTTTGGGGTTATATGGCCTCTAAAGTCCTTCTTGCTTTTAAAATTCTGCATTTAAAAATTGTATTTAGTACATAAAATAACAAATATGATTTGGAGTTTGGATATTCCATTATCTAAAAAGTATTTGATGTGCATTTTTTTTTTTTACATGTATGAAAAGGTTGAGTTCTCACTAGAAGGTGTTGAAACTAGAACTTGAATGATCTGGTCAACCATAGAATTAGAAGTACATTGTTTTAGCCTGTGTTTTGAGAGTCACAGAACAAAAGCAGTAAATCTTGGGGACTTTTTGTTATCATTTATTTAACTCATCGTAGTGTTTCTCTATTAGTAAGAGCCATCTGCCTATTTTATATACCAAGAGTTACATGTTACGTATTTAAATTCTTTATCACCCTCATTTTGAAAATGTTCATACACTGAAGCTGTATTATTCTGAGCTTGTCAGAGTCTTTACCACAATTTGTTAGGAAAACATGCTAACAAACTGGCGAAGCTGGTTTATACACCAGATGGTAAGTAGTCAAATGGATTCATCATAACAAATGGTTTTGTGAAAATATATACTGTGTTGTCCTTTGTAGTTCTTGTGGCCATCATCAGATCTTGACTCTCCCTACACATTAGAATAGCTAACAGGAGGACCTTTGGTCTAAGAATGAGTGGACCGGGTTTTACTCTTACTTAAACTTGTGATCTTGGGGAAAGTTATGTCTCTGGGGCTGTTTTCTTATTAAGAAAACAAAAGCTTGTCCTGAGTAATAAAAGATTGTCCCCAATATGATCCAATTGTAGACTTTGGTAAAACCATATCTTTATGATGAGGTATCATCTTAGCACCAAAAACACTCCATTTCCCATGTCCTTAAAAGGATTTAAGTGACCTCTGCCATCTTGAATTCATGATCATTTGTATATGGAGAGAGAGAGAGAGTGTGTGTGTGTGTGTGTGTGTGTGTGTGTGTAGTATCTGAAAGATTTTATTATGCATGGGTATTTCCTTTAAGACAGTGAGGAATTGTATTTCTAGTAATTTTCAAGTTAATGACTTCCTGCATTTCATGTTTGTGAATTTTACTACTCTCTGGGAACTTATTCTCTTCAGCTTGGAAAAACCAGCTTCTGTTTCTCTGTGGTTTAAATATTCTTCTTGCACAAGCACCTGTAGTTGAAGGCAAGTCTTTATTTGTCTGTGTTGCCTCCAAGGCTAGCCAAATGTCTTCCCTCTCAGGAGCCACTGTATGATTTTGACACTTAATAATTGGACAGTTGATAAATATCAATAAGAAACTAACTTTAGGGGGGATGTGGCTCCGTGGCAAAGTGTCTATCTTGCATTTGCAAAGCCCTGGGTTCAACCCCAACTTCCGAAAAGAAAAGAAACTAACTTTAACTGTGGAAATTGAAATAATTACATTTCATGCTTTTAACTTTTACAACTTTGAAGTTGAAAACAGGTATCACCTCTCAAGATCCAACAAAATGGCAAAATTTGTAATAAATTTTGAAGGTAGAGAAGTGTATGATATATGATTTGCATCTAAAATGTGCAAAATTGTACTTAATATACCTTTTTTAGAATATTAATGTTATTAACTAATAAGTTTGCATTTCATAATGCAGACTGAAATAGTGTGTACGTAAGAAGAGGCATTATTTCAGTAAGAATACATGGCACTGTAGAATTTTTGGCTACTTAGTCAGAAAATACTGAGCACTAGCCAGGCACTGGACTAGGTTTGGAACTGTTTCTATGTAGAAGGAATTTGCAGAGTAGCCATGGAAGTGGGAAGGATACTGCTTACCTAAGAATAAATAGATTACATGCTGTACATTAGAACCACTTGAAGCACTGCTAAGTATACAAATTGCTAGGCTCTACTTCTAGAGTTTCTGGTTCAGCAAACCTTAGGTAGGGCCTGAGAATTTGTATTTTTAGTGAGTTTCCAAGGAATACTGATGCTGGTATATAGTAATTTTTTCCTGGCACCATGCTTCGAGAGCCACTAGAATAGTGTTACTGGCTGATGAAATGCAAGTAGAAAGTAAGTGGCAGGATATAAAACAGGAAAATTGGACTGAGTTTATATCACAGGTGATCCTGAAAGTCAGGGTTTTGTAGTCTAAACATTTATTGAGTGCCTATCATGAACTTGGTACTACTACCTTCGGAGACCCACAGTCTGATAGTAGTGATTCTCAGAGCTAGG